CTGCACTGCTTTGGAGTTGGGGTGGGGGGTGCTTCTGTCTGCCCTCCTCTCCAAGCCCCAGTCCAGGCAGAGTGACCACCCTCCTCTCTGCTCCACTGCAGCAATTTTGCTAACTGAGGCAGGCTTGGCTGGGAATGCACAGAAAGTCCACCCTCTGGTCATTGCTAATCCTCTCTTTGATATGCAGTCCGTCCAGATTGACCAGGCTTTAGAGTCACGCAAAACAGTCCTGGACCCACTGGACCCTGTGACTCCTACAGTCTAGGTTGGAGTTGAGACATGTCTGTGTGGTAATGCATAGGATGAAGCCTGGGAGTTGAGGACCCCAGCGGAGGATGAAGGTGTCCTGTAGCTGTAGAAGCAGTAGGGCTCCTGATGTCTGGCTGGAGTCAGTGGAATGGGAGTCCCCTGGAGGGACGGGGCTGGGAACCTGGTGTTCTGACTGCAGGAAGCTTCCTGCTCACCAGTGGCAGCAGTCTCTAGACTTGTGTGCTTAGAAGGACTCTCCGGTTGCTCAGGAGCATGCAGATGGCAGGCTTACCCAGCCTGGAGGGTGCATTCAGAGCTGGAGGGAAAAGGGTGGTTAGGACCTGAAGCAGGGGCTCTGGTAGATAAGCTATCTGCCTCTTAAGCACCAGTTGCAAGTCCACCCAGCAGAGAACGCAACTGCTTAGCCCTGTCCCCACATCCAAGGGTGGAACCCACCCTGCAGACACATGAGCCTGTGGACTGGGGGTGGGGTGGTGTCCAAAACCAATGCCGAACAGGACCTCTGGAAGGGGGACCCCAAAGATGGCAGCCGACTGGACCTGGAGAGAGAGCGTTGGGGCCCAAGCACTCAGAGGACTACCAAAATCGGGCCGCTGGGCCAAATTAACAGGCCACCAACCATTTCTTCGGCACCAAAGTCCCACAGATTCACCTCTGCTGAACAGAGAACACAGTTCTCTTTGTCCCACCCAGAGCCGTTGCAGTCGCCAGCGGTCTCCAAAGGCAGAGCTCGCTGTTTGCCGTTCAACTTCCCTGCACTAGTCCTACTGGCCTCCAGGGGCGAGGTGCCTGTCTCCAAACTCCAGTGCACGGTCACAGGAAGCCACTATCAGACGAGTCCCTCCCCAGCCTGGTGTGGTCCCAGCACAGCACGCCTGAGAGTTAAGTATGGCTCCTGTTATTGTCTCTTCTCCACAGAGCCTGCCGTCTGGTGCCATGGCTTTGCACTGACTTCAGGCCTGTCCCTGTCTGAGTGGGTGGGAAGGTCTATGGGGGGCATTTTGTATCCTCCTGTGGGTCAGATAGCACAGCACCAGCTGGCTGGTTGGGCGTGGTCACCACACACTCTATTCCCTATTCTATTCTTGCTCTCTCCAATCATTGTGAACGTACCTCCCTTTCACCTTTTTTCCTGCCATATGTGTCTCACGCTGTTTCTCTGCAAATTCACAACACTGTTTTCCAGGGGAGTGATTCACTCATGTGTAGCTGTCCATGTTCTTCGTCTCTTTCTCCAGGAGCAGTGAGCTGGGAGGCCACCACTAATCCGCCATTTCCCTCACCCATAGATTTAATTTGCAATTCCCTAATGACATATTCCCTTAATCATCTTTTCATATGGATATGTGCCATCATCTTTGTGAGGTGTTTGTTCATCTCTATTGCTCACTTTTTAACTAGGTTGTTTTCTTATTTTTGACTTTTAAGAGTTCTTTGTATATTTTGGATACAAGTCTTTTTGCAGTTAGGTCATTTGCTAGTATTTTCCTTATATTCTGTGTCTTTTCATTCTCTTAACAGTGTCTCTTGCAGAGCATACATTTTAATTTTAATGAAGTCCAACTTTCAGATATTTCTTCCATGGATTGTGATTTTGGTGTTGTATCTAAAAATTCATTGCCAAACCCAAGATCATCTAGATTTTCTCTTATCTTCTAGAAGTTTTATAGTTTTGTGCTTTAAGTCTATGATCAATTTTGAGTTAATTTTTATGACAAGTCTACATTCACATCTTTGCATGTGCATATTCCAGCACTATTTGTTGAAAAGACTATCTTTTCTCCATTGAATTGCCTTTGTTCCTTTGTCAAAGATCAACTGACTATATAAGGGTCTATTTCTGGGCTCTATTCTGTTACATTGATCTGTCTTGTCTATTCTTTCACCAATACCATAATGTCTGAATTACTAGTATTATAGTAAGACTTGAAGTTGGGTAGTGTTGGTCCCTTGACTTTGTTCTTTTTCAGTATTGTGTTGACTCTTCTGGATGTTTTGCCTCTCTATATAATAAACTTTGCAATTCGTTTGTCAATATCCACAAAATAACTTGCTGGGATTTTAATGGGATTGCATTAAATCCATAGATCGAGTTGGAAAGAACTGACATCTTGATGATACTGAGTTTTCCCATCCATGAACACGGATTATCTATTTTAGTTTTTTAATTTCTTTCATCAGAGGTTCATAGTTTTTCTGACATAGATCTTGTACAAATTTTATTAGTTTTACACCTAAGTATTTCACTTGGGGGGGGTACTAGTGTAGACGTTATTATGATTTTAATTTCAAATTTCACTTTTCTATTGCTATTATATAGGAAAGTGATCAAGTTTTGCATATTAACCTTGTTTCCTGTAAACTTGCTGTAATTTATTAGTTCGAAGAGTTATTTTGTCATTTTTTTCTAGACTTTGTACAAACATGTTGTCGGTGAACAAAGATAGTTTTATTTTTTTCCTTCCCAACCTGTATGCTTTTTATTTCCTTTTCTTGTTTGATTGTATTAGTTAGGGCTAGTGTAAATAGTGTTATACATTTAAATTTCAAAGTTCAACTGTTCATTTTTTGTATATAGGAAAGCATCCTACTCTGTTTTCTTGGTTAGCCTGGCTGTAATTTCATCTAACTTAATAATCTTTTCAAAGACCCAGTTTTTGGTTTTGATTTTCTCTACTGCTTTCCCATTTTTTATTTCACTGGTTTCTGATCTAATTTTTTCAATATTTTGTAATGAGTGGTTACTTACCCTCTCTTAAAAAAATGTTTTAAATACACATAAAAACTGAACATTTTTGTGTTTTAATGTTTTAAATACATGCATAATTTTTGTTTTAATCATAAATATAAGAAGAAGTAATGTGGAACCTAAAGTACATATATTTAATTATTTACCTTAAAATATTTCTTCTGTGATATCTGCTAACAAATTTATAAGGAACAAAAAAGCCTAAATCTACTTTTAAAAGTTTGATTTCAAATGAAGTAAAATGTATACATAATCACCAAGATTCTTATTAACTTGTAGAAATGTTTATTTCATGCAAAGCTACATAATTTCCTATATTTTAACAGCTAATCAAATAAACATTTCAAAAATTCATTACATTACAATAAGTTAAAATACTGCGAAGGAACTGCAAGTCAATGAGTTTGTCAAAATCAAACTGAAGATAATATTATGCACAGATAAGGCCCAAAGATGCTAACTTACTTATAGTAGCACTTTGCAGCATTTTCTAAATACATATTTGAAAATGTAGTGAGAATCTGCAAAGAAAAATAGTTAAATCTACAACCCTCTAGTCAAACAAGAAAACATCTGTCATTACATACCAGGTAGTAATGGCTGATTAAAGATAAATTTGGCATCATGCATGAAAAATGAACACAGTTAACATTTTAAAGAATTATGATCAGATACACATTTGAAAAGATTAATCTATTTCACCCAATCGACTGAATTAGAAAAGGCAAAATAACAAGTACTTTATTAATGCAATGCAAAAATTAGGCTTTTTATACATCTTGCTTGAGTACTGGTGTATATAAAAAGACACTGAGGAGACATAAGAGTATTTCAAATTCACATTAGACTACTGAATTTTAGAATATTGTCCTAAGGAAATAGGTCTGGGCAGAACTTATTTCAGAAAGATTTTAAAACTATTTAAAAGCAACACTACAATTAGTTACTTACAAAAACATTTATAAAAATTAAATACCAGAAAGTAACAACATCAATATTAGAGTTCTTTTGTATTTTTAAATGCTAGAATTTATAAATATATATATTATAGTAATTTAAAAGACAGGTCCACATATTCTCTACCTTCTAAAATAAGAAAAATCTTTCAAGTTATTTTCAAAATATGGACAAAACAAATCCATTGGATTGCTTTTTAAAAAATAAATACACAGTCTCTCCCCTGCAACTTGGTATACTAAGTAGGGAAGATGCTAGCCAGCATTCTTTTGAGAAATTACAGATCTAAATGAGCAGTTTGATAAAAATTTGTCAATATCAACTCTAAATGGTGTTGTACAGTCAGTTTAATAAATTGTGACTTTACCCTACATATGTCTGCCATAGTAAACCATTCTTTCTACTCTTTCATACTAAGTACAGCAAAATTCTTTTACAAAATGATTTGGGATCAAGATAACCATAAAAGAAAATATTTTCAGTGAAAAAAAGTTAATTTTCCCCAAAGCATGTAAAAAAAAGTTTTTTAGGATATTGGTGTCAAGAGGAACATGCCAATAGTCTTACTCTATTAACAAATTTAAAAATTATAGCAACCTTAGTGGACAAATCTCCTGAAAATGGAAATAAAATTTTAGTTAAGCCAGGCTGACCATGGAAGAAATTAGAGGTGAGGATATGTTCCCACTGCAATGGGAAGGAAGACAGGACAGAGGTAGTGCCTGCCGTGCTGGGGGAAATGGCCCACAGTGCCTGATTTCTAGGATTGGGAAAGGGGAAAACACTGCCTGATCTCTGGACAGGAAAAAGTCACCAAGTTGAAAAGAAGTACCTCACAGAGAGGGAAATTCACATTTTAGAATGCCTACTCTTCTTATATTGATCCAACTTTCCAAAGAAAAATTCTGAAGATAAATGTTATTTTTAATACCTTTTTGTAAAAAGAAGTCTCAAGATTCTTAATGTTTTGGGTCTTTTTATAAATCATATTTTTTGGGAAATCTATTTTTATGCAAAAACAGTACACTGAAAAATGATTCATTTTATTCAAATGCCCTTCTTAGTGACCTAAAGACAATATATACTGACTCAGCATGCTTCACATTTCCATTCAGATGTTGCTTAGTTGTTTAGCACAATCTGTTTGACTACTTTAGGTACAATACTGCCATTTCAAGTAGTGGGATTTGTAGCTGGAACTAGTTCACTTTGAGTATACTGCTCATCAAAAACAACTGTGCAGACAAAACAAAAGAAAAATCTGTCAGCACATTAAAAATCATATTATAAAGAGATGTCTCAGAAAAGAAAAAAGGTGTAAAAGGAGGAAGGAAGGAAGAAAAGAAAAAACCTTAAATCCATTTACTTCTTAATACAATCCATTATACTTTAGAGATTCAAGTATGTTAAGATTTTTCAAGGACAGGTTTTGTCTCTTAGTGCAAATATACTTATTCTTGTGATTTTTTAGGCATGGTCCATTCAAATCACAGGTATAAAACTCACCTTTCTGAACAGTGTGAATTGGAGAGCTTATTTTTCTCTTTATACAATAATCAGTACACTATCAAAAACATTCCCTAAACCTATTAAAGCTCTATAAAATGAGGTTTGTTAATGAACATAAATTAAATTCCTTCATTAATATGCTAAATACACTCTAAAAAAACTATACATGTTGACTTTCCTATCTATATTTAATTTGGGTACACATTCAGCTTAAATTTCCAAAACTGATAATATAATCAAATAATATAGTCCAAAACAACCAACTGGCAGCATTTCTTTTTCAAAGTTGGATTGCTAAATTCTCTGATCTATTCTTTATAAAGGCAAAACACTTGAATTTTTTGATTTAGGTCTTACCATTGTTGTGAAATGAGAGCCTCTTGTGTGATGAAATTATTCTAAAGCCCTTGTATTCATTTGGTAAGAGTAAAGTTTAATAATTAAAGTCATACTTCATTTCTTATGTTTTTTACAAAAATGTTCTATTGTTAATGTTATTTAAATAGTAAAAAAAGTTAATTAGTAACTTAGAGGTAACTCATGAAATTAATAGATTATTGTTATTTTCTGCAATAGTTATTTTAAATTATTGGCTTACTGAATATACTTACCTAACAACAACTATTTTAAAAATAATTTAGAAAATTTGACTCAGATATTATCATGTAACGAAAACATTAAACATTGCTATTAATAATTATTTAAGAAATGTACTTTGCATGTAAAGTATATGAATTTACTAGTAATATTTTGCAGATGTCATTACATTTTAATAAGCTTCTCAAAACAAAAATTTCTTGTACCTCCTAGAGTTTTTCACACACGGTGGCTTAACAAATAGGAACTTAGTTCTCCAGCAATGAACTCAGTCTTCAATCGTTAAATCATTGCCTTCTGAACTCAAATTTACCCAGCAAAATAACCTTCCTATATGATTATACATAAAATCTTATTATAAGACAAGTTCTGCTTGAAAAATTACTATGAATCACTGAAACACCCAAATATTATTTTAAAAGTAACTCAAAAGTCATAAAGGGATCTATAGTGTTTGTGAAATATACATATATATGTATATATATATTTTAATTATTACAACCATAAAAATTTAATAATAAAGGAAAGTGGTAACATTCCCATACATATTCCTATCAATTTATTTTAGGGCATTAATAAAAGATAGTTATAAAAGTAACTGGATAATTTATTCCCTGTGTCTGCTTCTATTTCAACAACAACATCTGAGTTTCATGACAAAATCTTATGAGAAACATCATACTTAAGAAAATATTCCAAAGTAAACCCAAAGACTAAATAAAATAACACTATTTTCACAGGACGTTTAATGAATTAGTCCATAAAGAGTTTACGCTTTGGGGACTTCTAAGTGTTGCCGTAATAACAAGAAATGGGAGGGACCCTTTTCTGGGAAGATCGTTTTCCCAATCCAATACCTTCAAGTACCACTATGAAAAACAGCACAGCTAACAACTTGGTTTGTCTTTTGAAACTCTAATACATAACATCAATTCAACTCCCTCACAATAGCTTTGTGAGGTAGATCAGTAGGTAAATAACAAATATCACCTTCATTCTGCAAATGAAGAAACTGAGGCACTGGAAGGTTATGGTTTGCCCAAGGTACTCAATGATTCAATGATGAAATTGCAAACAGCTACATTATCTCTGCTCTTGGCCTATTCTATTGCTCTTTGACCACACTTCACAATAAAAAGCTATGTGTGTATTCCCTCAAATAAGCAGTTAATATAACCTTCAACTGAGAGTAAATCTATTCATTGATAATAATTTTAAAGGGAATCTAATCTCAAAGATCATAAAAACTCCAAAGATCAAAAAAATCAGATAATTAGGATGGTGCACTATTCCTTTCAGTACCCACAAACAACTGTGTCTTTTCAAAATTTACATGATGACACTCATTCAAGAAGAAAATAAAAATTTTAAATTTATGACTCAGAGAAAGATTGCCTTCAAGAAACATATAATCATATTGTTAGGGTGACTATATTATTCATCTTCAAACTGGGATACTTGAGAGTGAAAGTGAATGCTAGTAATGATTACAAAAAGACAACAGATGTTAAACTGAGCCTATACTGGGAAATCTCAAGTATGGTCACCCAATGTAGCATGAATTGTCTAAGAGCTGCAAATATTTCACAGACATAAAAAACTCTCCACAAGCATGTTACACTCAACCATGTTCACTGGTGCTTTAAAATTAATACCTAACTTTGACTTAAACACAAAGGTCAAAATAATTTAAAATAATAAGCATGTTTAACCAAGTTATTACTACACATTTCCATTCTAATATCATTTTCTGTTTTCTATAAACCACATTTTAAGTGTCAGAATAACAGCAAATGGACTCACTTTTTACCTTTGAATAACCACATTTTTTATCAAAAAATATAACTAGGTACCTTTAAATATTACAGAATTTTGTGGAACTCTTTGGCTACAAAAAAAAATAAAACTATTTACCATTAATGCTTAAGATTTCTCCTTGAATGACATGATCAACACTTAATATGCTAAATTATAAAAATGATCATTGCTTTCTGAAATGAAAATCTTTTACAAAGCAATACCGAATACATAAACAAATCCAGTTACTACAGAGACTGAAAGAATAATATATCATCTGATTATAGTATACATGCTAACGACATTAACACTTATCAGTTGAAGTATAATCTTAATTATACATGCAAAACCCCCACTAATTTGCAAACAGATTTAAAAAAGCACTTTTTACATTCAGGTATGTCTGGTAAGTAAGCCTTGTTTTAAGACATGGATCTTATGAATATGGTTATTATTTGAGGTCTCCATTCACTTACATTTCTTTGGGAAATACAGGTTAAACATTTTTTTAATAACAAAAATGTAAATCACAATAATAAAACTATATAATATTATTTAGTATGATTTATGGCTTCCTTGAACCTTTAAAATAACTCTCTTGAAAAAAAATCAATCTGAAAGAAACTACACTACACATTGTCAACAAATTCTTATCCTTACCATGAATTAAATCCTTCCACTGTAACTGTACTTCTAAGGCAGATGCTTAAGGAATGGTATGTAATAAATCTTGTTAGAAAAGACAATATTCTATTCAATGAGCAATAAACTATTATCAATAAGATATAATTAGTTCTCAGTGCCTTTTTGTTATCCTGATATTTTTCACTGAGAGTAAAAAGAAAATCCTAGAGTACACAGAACGTTCACAGAGGCTGAACTGATGTGTTGACATTGGTTAGCTGTTCCATAAATTTTTTCAGGCATTATACATCATCAAATATTCCAGCGTAAGACATTGAGTGATATCGTCCACCAGGCTGATACCTAAAAGGTGAACATTAAGAAATGATCTGAAGCATCAATCAAAAATAATAAAGGAGAAAAGAAAAAAAGAACACATTAAAAGGAAGTTGCTACATAATTTGCTTACACTGTAAAATCTATTCAGTAACTAAAAGCCGAAACTTACCCTCCGAGGAAATTATCCAAAAGGACTTACTTATAAATCAACCAGCAACTGTTTTAGAGCCTAGAATACATGCATGATAGAGTGAGGAATGTAGAAAGAGGGAGGGGAATGTAAGACACATCTAGGAGATTTATTAATTTAATAACTACTCTTAATTATTGAACATAATAGTCTAAGCTTTTTGCTATTTATAGGCAATAGTATAGTAAACACCTTCATGCATAGGATATTTTGCTTTTGTTTAATTAGTTCCTCATAGCATAGTGGCTAAAAGCATAGACTCTGTTGCCAGAGTACTGGGGTTTGAATTCACAAGTTGTGTGAATCTAGGCAATTTACTGGGCCTCTCTGGGTTGACATACAATTGGATTACAACCATACAATATGATATTGTTGGTAAAGTGCTGAGAATAGGGTCTGATATTCAAACATGGCCATGCAGCTCTTACTAAGGTATAATACATTTCTCAAATGGGACAGTCAGAAATAGGCATATATTTCTATTTTTTATTCTATGGTATATATTTCAATTCTTTCATATTTATAATACCATTAGTGTTGTCTAAAGATACTAATTTCAATTACCACTACTGGATACTATAATTTTTTTTAAATATAAAAGCATTATTGGGTATAAAAAGGTATCAAAAATTACTTGATATATTTTTTATTACTAGTAAACATGAAAATTTTCTCTTACTTTATCACTTGTTTACTTTTACCTTTACTTATCACTTGTTTTTAACCTTGTCAAGTCAGTATGTTATTAAAATTTCAGAGGAATGCCAGAGCCAAAATGTCACAGCCAGAGCATACCTTCTTGATTCAGGTTCAAGAGGATCATCAGTAAATGTTTCTGCATTAAAATCCAAAGGTTCTGCATCTTGGAGAAGTTCTATTCGGTCCCTTTCAGTCCTGTTATTAGTCCTGGTATATTTGGATGTTGCTGCAAAGAAAGGAAAAAAAATTCTACTTCCCTATTGTCTTTTAATTTATGGGTCACAGTCTATGGACTTACAAAAAGGAAAATCAAGATTATAAGGAATATGAATTTTCACTGTGAAGACAACTACATGGTTCCTTAAAAATCTGATTAAAATTAGAAACAATATACAGGGCAAGGAAAAGTTTTCCAGCTTTGTAGCTAGTATAAGCTCAGAAGCAGATACAGGGCAAAGACATAATTAGTATAACTCAGAATTAATATTTAACTATGGTATCACAACAGTTGAAATTCTTCATTATCACATGAAGTTTCAGTTGGCTTCACAGTGAATCTCATTTCTTGGCTAGGACTTTAAGGTGTAATCAACTCAAGCTCTTCAAGAAAGGCCTGAGCCTTCTTCCCATGAGGCAAGACTGTGGGCAGCACTAGCCAACAGAAATAAAATACAAGCCTCATATATACTTTGAAATTTCCTAGTTAGCTACATTAAAAAGTGAAAAGAAACAGGTGAAATTAATTTTAATATATTTAATTTAACATAATATATCCAAAAATATTATCATTTCAACATGGGGCACCAGTCATGTTGCAATTGCTCAACAGCCACATGTGGCTAATGGTTATCATACTGCTCAGCACAGATCAGAAAAGTAACTCTCCCTTCTCTGTGTGGATGGGGATTTCTTCATAAACAACCTAAATTCTCACAATATTGTTTTGAGCAGTCCAAGTAGCTTTATAACAACTTTATGATACAGTTCTTTTTGAAAACTTAAGGCAAGCCAATTCTGTCATATTTACATTGTTGTCATCTTGGGCTTTGCCCTAAATGCATGTCTCTTCCTCTTATTTATTCAGCAAACAGTAATTACACATCGTATACACTGCCTCTTCTCTTAACCATTCTTCCATATCCCAGATCTTTCTATTTGTAAAATTCCACTCTGTGGTAAGCAAGAAAATCCTTCCTCTATTTCCTAGCTTTAACTAAAGCTTTAGTATTATATTTATTCTACCAAAAAATGTTACCATGCTTCCTCCCACACTGAAATTTTACCTTCAGGACAAAATACAAACTTTTTAGCAGAACAATATCTGTTCCTCAACTATCTTTGAGGCCTCCCCTCTTATCAACATGCATCTCCCCAATGATTCTCTCATGCCACAATGTCCTGCATTCACTCTTCCTTCTGATTAAAACACTCTTCACCTGGCTGTGTACTATTCAATCCTAAATACTCAGATAAATATTTCTTTTTACAAAAATTATTTCCCAAAATAGAACTCTTTTTCCATTCCCCAAACTGAGTTCCTTCAGCATCAGATGTGTATCCTCCTGTCACAGCTTTCATGACAAGTCTATATTATAAATAGTTCATCATTAAATATTTCTAACATTTTCTATTTATCTCTTTTGTTTAGTTTCCATCTCTCTGGTGAAATTCCTCCTGATGTGTTCATGTACATTGCCCAAGCTTTCCATTAGATTTTTAACATACTAATTGGTTATTTTCAAGTCACTGCACTGTCTGATAATTCCAACATTTGAGCCACCTCTAGGTCTAGTATGTTGACTATTTTATGTTTTGAAAACAGCTCATATTTTCTTACTTTCTTGTGTATTTCATAATTTCTGGCTAAATGCCAGACACTGTGTGTAAAAGAACAGATGGAGATAAATAATTGTAATGCCAAACATGGGCATACCTCTTCTATTAGATCATCAGTGTTGAGGGATTGAATCAATCTAATCTATACTTGATCTGGGTTTGGACTTTGTTTTTGGGTTAGTTACCTTAAGTCCCTACATATTTCACATTTCTCCAGTGATGAACTGCTATTACCTTGTGATTAGTAAGGCCCCATCTGGCAGATGATTTGTCTCAGCATTTTTTTCCTATCCTCAGATTTAACAGTCCCTGCATACATACGCCACAGAGGGAGTCCCTTTCCATGTTTCTACTCCTCCTCCAACAGTAGACTACTGCTGCTTGGTCACTATAAACCCTGTATTTGGGTAGGAGAGGTTGCTCAATTTTCCTCCTCTACTCTCAGTGTTAGGCAGGTCCCTGTGCACTGAAGTCTTAGTGGTGATTCTCTCTCAGCAAACTGAAATCTCTCCCAAAGACAAACAACCTCTGCCTTCTACTCAGTGCAAGGTCCTAAGCAAAAACAGGTTTCTTGCACTTACCCAGGGGCCTCATGTCACATTAATATATTTTTTATTATTAGTAAAGATGAACATTTGTAGGGTCAATGATATGGGAAGGTTTCCTAACCCACCCTGGTAAGCGATGGCTTCTGTCTGGTATCAGTCCCTCACTCAATTATGAGCATCTTAAGCATAAGATATTTATTTTCTTTGTATCATTGCATACTTGAGAATATGTCTGACATACATAGGTCATAAAAACAACTGAATAACCTATGTCTACTAATAGAAAAGTGAAGAAAAATATCAAGTAAATGATAAATACTTGGCTAGAACATGCCTGGGATAAGTGCTTAAATTATTTAGGTTAATACACTTATAGCTATTCATTTGATGTCCCAGTTTCTCCTTTCCCTATCAGAAGGCATATTTGAATTTCTGCTTCCTTCTTTATACTAAGGAATGTGAGAAAGAAAGGTCAGTGCAAATGCACATTTACAATTCTACAAAGGCATTTCTGGATGAGTATCCTAACTCTCAGTCTCTATGCAAACAAGCATAAGAAAAAAAATTTCTAAGCAAACTAGAAAATAAACTACTTACATCGGTTGGTATTAATATCTGAGAAGTTTAACTCTTTTGGGTCAGTATGAACATTTCTGTTCCTAGTGGAATCTTCTCTATTGTGTCCATAACGTTCTTTCCATTCCTAAGAAAGAAACATAAATGCATATACAACAAAAGGACAAAAAATAATTCATCAATGTCAACAGATTATATATGCAGAATATAATTTAATTATTTTTCATCAGAAATTCATTAGTAATCAGTACAATTATCATAGCATCTTTAAAAATCATAGGTCAATGTTTTTATCTTTACATGTAAAGTCACAGTCTCTATAAACTTGAGACATTTATAAACATTTTTTGCTAACTATGATTATGTTATTCTTCTAAAACATCAAAAAAATATTACAACTACAAGCTTACCCTAACCATGTAAAAGTTATAAGAACCCATAATGATTGATAAGATGGTCACAAAATTTTCTTTCATTTAAATAAGCTACAAATATTAGAGAGCTGAAAAGTCATTTTCAATAGCAAAATTAAAGTTGTATACAAATATAATTAAACTGCGACTCACACATAGCATTTTGAATTATCGTAAACACAGTAAAACCATATTAACTAGGGTTCTACTCATCAAATTCTTAGAATCAAAAGAGACATTAGAGGTCACTTAATGCAACTTTCCATGCAGTGCAGGGTCTCATTCTAAAACATCTGTGCCAGATGCTTTTTGGCTGACTAGATGACATGTAAATTTCTGGGTTTGTGAAGCCTACAGCAATTTTGGTAAACTGTGGAAATTAGAAATTCTTATAGAGAGGTGAAATCTATCTCCAGTAACTTCTCATCTTTGGTTCTACTTATACCTTCCGAAATAAAGAACAGACCTCTCATTCACATGATATATACTAAGATAAACAACAACAACTGTCAAGTCTCCTGTCTTTGCCAGTATAGATATACTCAGATGTTAAAAATTTATGGTAACTGTGACTAGATTATTTTTCTCATTTTTTGCCTTTTCACTCTCTAGGAGGAGGTTAGTTTGTCTCAGCAAATGGAGAACTGAAGAAAAATTGAAGAGGAATAAAATTAATGTCACATTACAAAAAAGCATAACAATTTTACAGCAATTAAAGCCACTTTAATAGCAAGACTACATGAATTCATTCATGCAACAAATATTCACTGAGCATCAACCTTAGGCAAGAAGCTGCTTAATGTGGGACACAAATGAAATAATTATTACTAGTGAGTTGTACAGGTCCAATAGGACACCTAGCATATATATCTGAAAGTATTAAAATTCCCTTTCTTTAAAAGTATACACTGTGCTAAAAATATATATATAAATAAAAATAATATACCCTGTGCCATTTTTCCCACTGTTCTCTATCTTGAGCAAATTATTCTAAATCAGTAGGATTCTTAAGATATTCCACATGATTATTTAGGTTATAGCAATTTAGTCAATACTGTACTTACTCTTCTTCGATTTTCACCTTCTTCTTGCCTTTGCCTTTTTCTCTTTTCTGGAAACAAGAAAATGGTCTCAAATTTGGTATAATACGGTTTAAACAGACACAAAATAACTGAAATAAATGTATCAGGCTATGACTAATATTTCTTTTAAATTACTATATAATCAAATGTAATAGGTTACTGTTGGAAATGATCTAAGAGGTCATCTCACCCAATAGGTCCACCTTCTCTATTTTTGTTAGAGATGGTCCTAAAGTCTCTGTTCAAATAACTTTAGTGAAGAAAAGGGTTCTGTCTCACAATTACCTGAGTTTCTCTGTAACTTCTATTCTCTTTTAGTCCTATCTTCTAAATTAAATTCATACTTCTTTTCTTTCTGTATAAGAGTTCGAATTCTTGGCCTCAAGCAATCCTTCTACCTCAGCCTCCCAAAGTGCTGGGATTACAGGTGAGAGCCACCATGCCCAGCCTTATAATTTCTTAAGAATAGATTAAAATTATTTATAAATTATACAAACATTAATTTTGTTTTCTGAGTTTGAGTACTTAGCATTTTCTCTTCATTTATTTTAAAAGACATATCTTACCTCGTCTGATTAATTCTTTTCCTTCATCAACTAAGTCTGATGTCATATCATTATCACCCATAAACTGCTGGAAACCAAGCAGATTCAAACAACGGGTTCCCAAACTAAAGTAGATTTTCAAGAAAACAAGCATTATTTCACATTATAAATATTTAGATAATAATATTTAGATAATATTCTTTAATGTTGTCATCCCCAAAGAAGCCTATGCTTGATTATCAGTTATCATGGAAAGTTACATATAGTTACAACTGTTGTTCTTCAAGAAGTACTACTTATTTCCCTTTCTAAGAAGTTTATGCCCAGTACTTTACTGACTAGGGTATGCACGATATCCAGATTTCCTATGGAAGTTAAAGGAGCTCAGGAAATTTCACCCCAATATATGACTCCTTCGTATAAAGAGTATTTTAAATACTCTTAGAGGCCCTTAGAGGTCATAGATACTGGAGGAGGCTTTCCTCTATCTTCATAAAACCAGACCTACTAAAAAGAAGAATTCCCTCCCCCTTCCTGGTACCTCAATATATTGCATGAAAGATCAAGAATACAACCAGATCTGGCCCAACCCATTTTAAAAATAATACTTGTCTCTCAGGTTAATATAATTTCCAAAGAGAATCAATTACAAGTCAATCTGTTTCTCCCATCCATTCATTCTCCCAAGTATCTATTCATTCTCCCTAGTAACCATTTATTCCCCCTAAACAGAATTACCTATATTTCTCTTCTCCATTCCCCCATCTAAAATGAGGGATAATAAATTTCTGTACCCCACTGGGATATTGTGCACACAATAAATACATCTTTTTCTCTTATTAATCTGCCTTACTGTAAAAGTTGATCTTTCAGCAAACCTTCTGGGGGCAAAAGGGAAGTTTTCCTTTTTCCCGACAAAATAACAAGTCAGGTCATTAGCATACATAGCCTTCAGAAAACAATTATACGAGGATGCTAAATAATAACTATAATACAAGAGCAACTTACTCTTTGTTTATATCTAAATAGCAGTTTTGATACTGAAATATACATTTAAAACCAGTATTTCCAAGTGTGGAATATGCTGGTTTATAAAGTCTTAATTGTATAAATTTATTTTCATGCTCTATTTTTTCCCCTGTGAATTAGTCAACTCTATTTAAATACCTTTTGTTACACACTGTAAAGTGATGACTATAATCTTATGTGGGGCCTATTACCTTATATCTTATTTGCTATTTACTTTAAACCTGATTATTATACAGGACAATAATAGTCTGAAATATGGAACACAAGGAAGGAAGTGATAGATGAGTAGGAAGGATAATATTTGTTATGATCCTACTATGTATCACCAAGCAGCTCTTTTTATTACATTAGTTTTCAAACTTTCTCAATGATGTAATTCTAATGGCAGAGCCTGAACACATGCATGGAAAGTGAGGCAAAGGAAGAGGAAGAAAGGGGAAAAGAAGAAGAGGGGGTTGAGAAAGGGGGATGTGAATGTGTGTGTGTCAGGAAGGTAAAACAAGGAGGCAATTAAAGAAAGCCAAGAATCCATTTCACATTAATAATGTATAAATATCTAGCTATTCACAGTACATCTACTTGTTTCAATATAAAAGGGATGTTTTATGCGAATTACCATTGAGTAAACTGGGGTTTCAGGTAGATGATTATGTTAATTCTGTGACCTTAAACAATCCCTTACTGTCCTCATATCTTTGTAGAAACTTTGAACTAGTTCACTTACTCTGGAAAGGTTTTATCTTTGTCTAAAGTGTCAGGAATCAACCTATGTTCTCTCAGCAGGTAAGTCTGGATATTAACCCTGAGTATGGCCATGTTGTTAACAGACTGGGAATTAGACTAATTATGGCAGCATTTCAAATGAAAATGGACCTATAAAGTCAAACTACCACTGAAGTGTCAGTAAGGCACTGCTTCACATATTTCTAAAAGAATATTTACTATGTGAAATAATTTAAAAATTAAGGAATACAATCCTTTCTTACTAAAGACAAAATGGCATTCAAAGTTTATCCTAATTAACTCTGGATACACTTTTAATGAATATTTTTAAGTTTAACCATTTCCCTTTAAGGTATCATGATTCTTTATATTTAAGATTTTATAGTTGTCAAAGCACTATCGTACCCCATATCACTTGATCCATATAACCATCTGATAAGGTAAGAAGAAATGTTAATCTTCCAACATAACTAATAACATAAAAACACATCATCTGTACAGCACAAGCCCTTAATTTTCCATTAGTAGCTTTATAAACTTTTAAAATAAATAAACATATAATCAAAACTTAGCTTTGGGCATACAAAGTATGATTAGTCTCCTTTTAATAAAACATTTTCACACTATAAATCTGTTACTCTCTTTTCCAATTAAAGGAAACACTCACAGTATTAGATTTGCTATCACTTCTTATTACAATATCATTTTAAGTTATAATCTTTTGGCTATTTTGCTTATGAAAAGGTTAAAATATATTTTTCAAAATTCAATAGAGAATTTAAACAATATCTGTTTAGTCACCACCTTAATATTAGTATCTATCGTTTGTAATAACGAAGATTTAAGCAAAAACTAGGTAGATGAAACTTATTTTTGTTATAAATGTAAATGATTAACATTAAAAAAAAGTTTCTGGAGACTTCTGGTTTCAAAAGGGCAGCACAGAGGCAAGCTGGCTTCACTACTCCTCCCAAAAAACCAAAACCAAATATACAATATAATATCTATACCAGCAACAACACAGAGCTCAAGTATGAAGATGAGACAGTTCTGCAGGACCATGGAGTAGTGGAAAAACTCCAAGGAGATAGTAGGAGAATCAGAATTCAACATTTGTGACACCATGCTCCCCCATTCTGCTCACCACCAAGCACATGGAATATCTCCCCGCAACTCACAGTTTGTACAATGGAAAAAGTGAAATTGAGGTGGTTGATCAGCTTCCCCACCTTCTTGGGTTCCCTGGCAGAAGACCTCAGTGCTCTAAGCAGTCCCTTCTAACTAGCTCCAGCTTCCCCAAAGCCACAACAAAACAAACAACTGAAACCCAACCAGTAAATATTTAAAAGAGCTTTAATGAGAAAGAACATCCAGATCCAACTAAGTAATGTTAAGTTTCTTACCTAAAATAAGTAGCTATGCAGAGAATGACCACCAACATAGGATAATATATGTAGAATCCATCTGCAATAAAGGATAAAACTTTCATGGAACCCATAATCTGAAGAGCAAGAAAAAAGTAAGTTAAATCGGCATAGTTCTATATTTTTCATTTATTTCCATCATTAGAAAATTTGCCAATAACCGGTTACATCAATATATTTGAACTATTCAAAGTAGAAGCACAAAGCACTAAACAAACAAATTTTTTAAAATTTACTTTTTATTAAGTTTTCTCCTAGGGAAAATTAATATTTTATAAATATTGCTCAAAATTATCACATATATTAAGACTATAAATATAAAATTTAATAGTAGTTTTGGTCATGTAGGTGATACTGCTCAGCTAGACAACCATAAAAACTTTTTTTTATAATAAAAGAAGCAAAATCACTTTTATTCAGTCATTAGTATTATACAATCTTTAAGAGAGGATTTCATTAGTAATGTTATAAAACTTTTCTGCCCACATTAAAAGAAATTTCACAATAACACCATTTCATATAGATAATGAATGTAAAGAACTCTGTTTTCTGACCATACTTACAGACGTGTAAGCAGTTGGCTGAGTATTCTGGTGAGAGATAGACGAATCCATATGGGTCAAACCCAAGAAGTTAAGACATAACGGAGGAGTCAAACGGCAAAATAACCTGCAGTAAATATTTAAAATATAATATATAAAAAATAAATCAGTAAAAATACATTTTATATTATATTGAAATGTATTAAGAATATTTCAGATCATTGTAGCTACAATTTTCATCTATTTCCATGATATATATTTTGAATTTTTAATATGAACTGCTCTTAGTTGCAATTAATAAGATTTTTAATTGCATTCCCCTTAAAAACATCAACACTTGCATGGCAAAACTGCAGCTCAGGCCGCCTGCTTTGGTTGAGTTTGCCACTGATTTATACCCACAATTTATGGAGTGCCTTGTATGTACCTCCTTCAACTCTACTATGTGTGCAATTAATTCATTTCACAGAATGACAAGGACAGTAACATCCTCAAGGTAAATTATACTCAGTACATAAAATATCTGAAGATGTATCAAAATATGTCATTCTGACAAGTACAGGTATAAAGAATTGTTCAATTTTGACTAAATAAAAAGAATCTCTTACAAAATTACAGAGTTGGAGAATTGGGGACATGGAGAGAGGAAAGGTGTCAATAAGAAGAGGTAATAATGAGGGAGCATTTTTGTGGTGATAGAATAGTTCTGAATCTTGATTGTGGTGGTGGTTACAGGAATCTACACACGTACACACAAATGAAAGATAAAAAATAGTGAGAACTAAATAAGGTCTGTAGTGTAGTTAATGGTAATGTTCCAATGTAATTCCTGATTTTGATATTGTTTGACAGCTATAGAAGATGTTACCATTGGGGGAAGTGTGGTGAAGGTTACATACAACTTTTTGTATTATATTTAAAACTTCCTGTGAGTCCATAATTATTTGGAAAAGAACAAAAAAAAGTCTTAAGCTTGCTTTAGATATCAATTTCTCTATAAACTTCTCTAATTCCAGCCTTTATAAATACCTAATAAGACTGATTTTACAATAAGGACAGGTAATAGATTATGCAACGTAGCCCAAGTGGGAGCCATCTCTCCAAACTTCTTTAGGAAAATTTGTTCTTGTTGGTTTTCTTAGTCTTCAATTCAGGTAGAAGCCACTGAATCTCAGAACACTCTCTAGGTCTGACTTAGTCTCTAAACTCTCCACTTTTCCTACCATTTACTAATCTATTTACTGAATCGCTAGTTGGTTATCCAGGCTCACTATGTGTTTCCTTTCCCTCCTAACCTAGCATACCTACAATAGTTTAGCCTTAAACTTCAAGCAAGATTTATCTGGCAATCGACAAATACTTATTTAATATTTAAACCTAATCAATTAGCTCATAGAAATACAGACATTAGTGGAACACCCATAAAAACAAGAACTAAAAGAGAGATCCATAAGAATACATGCAATAGAGACATTTCTCTTGTTTCTAAGTGTAATTCTACTTACATGCCACTGAAAAGAAGGCTATAAGCATCAGTTTGATGATGTGAAGCCAAGTAATAATAGTTAAATACACGAATCCTGAACACAGTAGAATAAACACAGATACTTAGGAAGAATATGGAAAGAAAGCAAGCAATCTGAAAAACAAACCAAAAACAAAACGTTTATTTAAGACTAATACACTTTAAACTAGCACTTAACTATCACAAGCATTATCCTTCATTTCCAGTTAACATTTATGGATGTTCTATTTAAATACAGCAGTAGAGGATTTCTTAATCATCTAAGAAAATGAAATTATGAAAAAATCTAGGATGTTCAACATCCTAGATCCATACATTTTAAATATTCCTCCTAAAGTGAGCCTGTTCTTCCATTCCCTTAGTGAGTCTTCACATGAGACCTGCAAGTTATATATACCGTTTCACTAGCATAAAGAAGATCAAAGTTAATCATAAAAAGAATTTTATACTATCTTGGACCTTTTCATCTCTCCTCAAATATTAATACAGTTCTGTTTTGGGCTTTTTGTTTTCTATTTGAGACAGAGTCTCGTTCTGTCACCCCACGTAGGGTGCAGTGGTGTCATCATATCTCACTGCAACCTCAAATTCCTGGGCTCAAGTGATCTGATCCTCCTGCCTCAGCTTCCTGAGTAGCTGGGACTACAGGCCCACCCCATCATGCTCAGCTAATTTTTTCTATATATAGTAGAGACAGGGTCTTGCTCTTTGCTCAGGCTGGTCTCGAACTCCTAGCCTCAAGCGATCCTCCCATCTTGGCCTCCTGGAGTGCTAGGATTATAGGCGTGAGCCACTGCACCCAGCCTAATTATTAGTTTTTAATAGTCAGGGTAAATTGATAAGGCACATTTTTGGAAGTTTGAATAACACTGTAGGAAACTGCACTGCTTTCATTATTACTATAAGAAATATATGGAGAAAAGATATAGCAGTTAAGATTATACCATGAACTGACATGTATTTATGACAGATATAAAATAAACTGACCTCAATATAAATATAATTGTATGTTTTTTCTGCCAGCTGTATGAAGACTGCAAAGAGGGATAAGACAGGAGTAGTGCTAAAGAATGTGCACTCTGACCACACAACAATCACAGAGAAGATGGACAGAACCACAGCAAGGATCCTATAAAACCAAGGTCGCAAAAGACATTCCCAGTACCACTCTGGAAGACAAAAGAAAAAAAACATTAGGAAAAATATAAAAGAGTACAGGGTATTAACATTATTTTAAAATATCTCCCAACAAGATATGTAATTACAAAGAGAAAAATAGCAATTTTACTGTGGAGGAACCAGGCATACTCCACCCTGACCAAATGATCACCAATAATGGGACAAACTGACATCATGAGCTTCCTACTACAATGCACTGAGAAGAACATGACATTGCTGCTGTGGCATTCCTGCCAAAAATGTAGAAGCTCCATCTAATCATGAGGAAAAATCAAACTCAAATTCAGGGACATTTAACAAAAAACTGGCCTGTACTCTCTAAAAACATCTATGTCATAAAACACAAACAGAGACTGAGAAATCATCTAGATCAGAGGAGACTAAGGAGACATGACAACTGAATGCAATGTATGACCTGAGATTTTTTACAAAGAATACTTTTGGGATAATTATTGAAATCTGAATAATGTCTGTAAATAGTACAGTATCAATATTAATTTGCTGACTTTGATAACTGTAATGTATAAGAAAATATCTTTTTAGGCAATACACACTGAAACATTTCGGGACAAAGAGGCATCATGTCTGGATACAACTCTGACAGATTCAGAACACAAAATACATACAGAAATAAAAAGCAAATGTATATGGTAAAATGTTAACATTTGGAAAACCTGGGTGAAGAGTTTATGGGAATACTTCATACTATTCTGGTTTTGTTAAGTCTGAATTTTAGTAAAAATAAAGTTTAAGGAAAAGCTCAATAAACTGAAAAGGCGATGTTTTTACTTCATTGAAGGGCTGAGCTCAATGTAATTCTTTTCCTCCCTGCTCTCAGCATAATTCCTGGCGATTTCAATATCCGTATAAGCAATTCTCCTTTCAATACCCTGGTCTCTCATTTCCTTGACCTCCTCTCCTCCAATGATCTTGCCCTCCACCCTAACTCAATTACCTGTTGCCACAGTCATCCCTAAACCTTTTATTATCAATATCTTCACTCTTACGTATAACCTCGTTCTTGCATCCTTGTCTCCAAACAATACCTTCATCTAGTACAGTATTTCAACTCCACTGATTGACTTTACCTGGACCAAAAATCAACTTATTCTACCACTTCTTTATTGTTATTTAACACTTTGATGTCCTTATTTCCTTCCTAATAGAGAGAATCAAGTGAATATAACTATTTGTTTGAATAAATAAGGTAAACAGAAGTTTTAATACTTAAACACTTTGGTACTTGCATTAAGTTTCTTCATACTAAATTTGGTACTTGCATTAAGTTTCTTCATACTAAATTTAAAGAGAGTGTCATAAATAATCACAAAGGAGAAAAATATAATGATGAATACAGAGTATAGGCTTTGTAAATTGGACTAATAAATGTAAATAATCAAAGAGGACTTTTCAGGGGAAGATTTTAGTAGTATGTCAAGACTGAAGAAGAGACCTATGCTTGTGATATGAAATTGCTTAAAATTCTAATTATTTTAAGTACAGTTACGTGCTGCCTAACATTTTGGTCGATGACGGATGGCATATACAATGATGATCCTATAAGATTATACCATATTTTTACTGTACCTTATCTATGCTTAGATAGACAAATACTTACTATTGTATTACAATATCCAGTACAGTAATATGCTGTATAGGTTTGTAGCCTAGGAGTAATAGGCTACACAGTAATAGACATCTCACATAGTCTAGATATGTAGTAGGCTATACCATCTAGGTCTGTGTAATTTTATGATGCTCACACAACAATGGAATAGCCTAACACTGCATTTCTCAGAATGTACTCCTGTCATTGAAGTGATGCATGATTATATATATTATGTATCATACAAAATATGCTTGACATATTATTATTTTCACATAGAATTTTGATTATTTGTAAAGTAACAGTGGAATTTGAAGAATTATATGTTCTATAATAAGAAAAATAGTTATTTTGCAAAATGTTTATCAAATATTATCATATGGTGTAAATCAAATAATATAAATAAAATTCAACTGTGCAATGGTGAAAATATATACTTTTTTCCCATCATTAAACTCTAAAATTTATATCAAATTACATACCAAATGTAGGGTTATAAAAATATTGGATAAATCGATTTTCTGGCTCCGGTGATTGAAAGGTATGAACAAACTGATGAGTAGCACTAGTTTCATTTTTTGCTACATCTTCTAGATAAAATGCTTGCTCCAAAAGAATCTGCCATTGTACTTGAGTTCGACGGTGCCTCTGAACTGAATAAATCACCTAAAAAAAAAAAAAAAAAGATTAAGAGTAGACGTGGCAGTGCCCTGATCCAACAGGGGTTCAACCTCCTATTAGGGAGCATGCTTTGGTTGTCACAACAGGAAAGTGCTAGTGGCATTTACTGGGTTGGGCACCAAGGATGTTAATGTGCTAAAATGATGTAATAGTTCTATATAATGTAACACTTATGCTCAGTAAATAATTCTGTCTCCCTAAATGCTAATAGTTCTATTAGTTCTCCCTATTGAGAACACAAAATTAAAACATTTTGAAGAATAATAAGACCAAAGAAGTTTTAGATGCACATTCACTAAAAATTCCTTTTTAGTGAGCAATAATTATAAATCTAACTAAAACCATAAATAAAATAGCTATAATAAGTAAGGTTACCTGTTTATGCAGTTTTACCAGACTTTTTTCACTTGGGTAGGTATTATGCTTTTCATCAAAATCTTCATAATCATCCATGTTCCTACCCATTTTTTCCTGATACTCTGTAGGGCACTGAAAGGAACAAGTAGATTTTTTTTAAAAAAATCTTAATAGTAAAAGGATAAAAATTTTTATTAAACATCTTTCATTCTTGGGCATTTCTAATTTTCTCAGAAACATCTTCCTCCTTTATTGGCTTCTCTAGTTAGACTTTTGCTGACATTTTCTTGAAAATGTTTTAAAAGCTGTATTGAGTTTCTACTCATCTTTATTAATATTAATCTTTATGTTCAGATACACTAGCTAGAAATAGGTAGAGGCAGGGGAACTTACCTATAGGAAGCAACTAGTATTTGAGAGGATTATCCTAAGTAGGCCCTGTTTAAACTGTCAATTATATTTCTAGCTAAATAATTAAGAAGAATTATGACAATTCCAAGATGCTGAATTTTTAAAGGCATAGTACAGAGAAACAAATACATGATTTGAAGTCATCTGTCATACTACTACTCATTTATTATCTGTATGATCTTGGACAAGGTAGTTAACCTCCCTGATTAAGTCTCAAAAACCAGCAAATTTGAGAGAAATGGTTAGAAAATTGACTCCTTATAACTATCATCTTAGCCAAAGAGAACACTAGATAATAATCAATACAAAAGATTTAAAATATAGGAAAAGAAATATTTCAATGATTCTGTGGTTGCATAAGAGACAATTAGGGAACTCTGCAAAAAATAATTTTGGGAAGTATACGAATACTCCTAATTTAACACCAATACATCAAAATCTTAATTGTATAGCTTCTTATTAAATACCTATGTTAAATATTTCATGTCATTTATTTTATGAAATATGAAATATATCATAAAATGACATGTACACAGCTGATTAAAAGATTATTAAGGCCCTAATTTATTTTCTTATAAGAGATAAGTCTTTAGTGATCGTATACAATGACACTTTAATGGTTTACCTCCATCACTATGTTATAGCAATCATTATACACTAGTCAACATCACCTGTATCTCCACATTTCAGTGGAAAACACTACCAATAATTAATGTTAAACTTGTAATAAAAAAGAAAAAATTCTATGTATAAATTACTACTATTTTATGGTAAATAGTTCCATGAAAATGAGTTGAGAAGACCTCAGTCATAGGCTGTTTTCATACTTTTCTGATGCTTTTGTTATAATATTACATAAATCTATATTTCAAAAGGAGAGAAACAAGATTATTTAATTACCTTTTTAAGTATTGTATCAACACATTTTCTCAATGGATGATTATACTTGATACTTTCATTCACTTTACGAACTTCCTATAAAAACAGTAAGATAAATAAAAATATTTCCATTTCTATAGATCAGCTACTTCAAATGAGAATGTACTAGTATAGTACTATACTCATTCACGCAAGTTCAATTTCAACCTAAATTACACAGCATTACACATAAGTTCCTTTCACTGAATAAAAGTTCTTAAGAATACAAGTAAAAACAGAAGGTCATTGAATTGCTATATCTATATACCCTTGCACTTTTTCTTACTTTCTAGATTTATTCCCTTATCAGATGATCACTTGGTAAACAAAGATCAATTAGCATTATAAAAAGGTTCATGACGAATCACACAAACTTTGTGATCCTAAAAGAACAGGGCTGTGTTCTTCCACCTTATTCACCTTATTCAAGATCAATTATCTCTTTATCTAAAATACAGTGAAGAAACCACAGGAAGCAGAACTACAAATTTTACAAAGTACCTGCTCCTTTTCAAAGGAAGAGTACTCTATAGAAGTCATGATTGATTGATTAATTCCATACTTGTTTATCAAGAGCATACTATATGCCAGCACTGTGCTAGCTATAAGCCCACCAAAATCCATAATGGAGGGCTGGAAGACATGGAATTGTTGGACTTTGACTAAAATTACATTATAGTGGTAAGATAAATAAATAATGAGGATGAAAGGCATAAAAGAGTTAGGGAAAGGAACTAACAGTTCCTAAGGAATCACAATACTTTATAATATCCATGACATTAAAAAAAGTTGGAACTACTGTTCCAAGCAGATGAAACAGCATGTTCACAGCCTGGGAGGCATGAAAGAATTGACCAAGATATTAAAAAAAAACCATTTGAACTATAGGGTAGAGAAGGGCTTTAAGGAATACAAAACTGGAGGCAGGGAAACCATCTGGCACATAGAAAAACTTGTGAAAAAACTTTTGTAATTTTTATGACAAAGAATCACCATCCTTAAGATGTGAAGAGCTCTTACAAATCAACCAAAAAATGTGAATATAGAAGAAATACGACTGACCAAGAAATGTATGAAAATATAGTCAAGATCACTAAAACAGCTACAAATTTTAAAAATGAAAACTTTTTTTGCAAAAGTCTATCATGTAATGAGGTAAGACTGTGGGGAAACAGGCCCTCCTACACACAATAAAAAGGGATATCATCTACTTGAGGGTAATTTAACACTACTTAACAAAATTTAGAATGTGCATACTCTATGAATAATCTGTACCAACAGGCACTACTCCTTGTCAAGAAAAACTTAATGAAATAAACAGACGTAAATCAAATAGAAAAGGTGTGGAAACTACTATAAAAGAAAAGTATAGGATGCTCTGAGAGGACATATAATCTAGAGTAGGAGACTTTCTAATGAACTGATCATACAAAATGAGAGAAAACAGAGTAAGTAAAAGTCAGTCAACCAAAGGGAGGGCAAGAATATTCCAGACAGACAGACAAGGACAGCACATACAAAGCCCTCCAGGCCAAAGGAAAGGAACTGCTTTGAGGGACTGAAAGAAGTCCAGTGTAACTACATGGAAAAGGAGAGTAAGGGCCTGAGTAACACTTATCAGACTGGAAAGGTATGAAGAAAATGCTCCTACGTTTTTTTTTTTTGGAGACAGAGTCTCACTCTTGTTGCCCAGGTTAGAGTGCCGTGGTGTCAGCCTAGCTCACAGTAACCTCAAACTCCTGGGCTCAAGTGATCCTCCTGCCTCAGCCTCCCAAGTAGCTGGGACTACAGGCATGTGCCACCATGCTCGGATAATTTTTTCTATATATTTTTAGTTGGCTAATCAATTTCTTTCTCTTTTTGGTAGAGACGGGCTCTCGCTCTTGCTCAGGCTGGTCTTGAACACCTGAGGTCAAACAATCCGCCTGCCTCGGCCTCCCAGAAAATGCTCCTAGGTCTTAATAACAGTTTATTTTGAGATTGATGTGTGAAGCTTAAACATGACAGTGACAAAATCAGACGAGTTTTTAAAAGGTCACCCTGAAGCATCACTGTATCACAATTTTCCATTAGTAAGCTGCCTTAAATTTTGTTGACTTGCTAGCACAGATTTATCCTACTTTGAAAACAAACTATATACCTGGTTATATTTTACATGAAATATCATGTTTTCTTTAAAATATAGCCATATTAAACAAAAACAAGTTTTGAAACAGTTAACTATTAACAAGTGTTATATCTATTATAATTTTAAGATTCTACAAAAGTTTGTAATTTTTATAAAGTATGGACAGTATTTTCGTTTGTTTTTTCATACAAAATAATATAACTTTGAGCTCTTTCATTATTGTGCCTAATCAACTCTTTTCTAAGCAGATCAGGTAACATCAATGAAGGCTGACTAACAGGCAGTTTTCAGTCAGTGGAAATAAGTAGCTATTTCTCCCTCCCCAAAATATTCTCTCTAGAAAAATGACAAAAGGTAGAGGTGATCTGTTAGGTCATGTAGCAAATACTTCTTGAATGTTTTGACAAGGCTTATAAGTTTTGTTAATGCTTCAGAGAAAAGTAGTAGGCAAACAAATGCATATATTCATTTCAGAGAGAAACATATCATAAAAATACCAAACTGGTTTTTATAAAACTACATTGGGGGATTATACAGATAGCTGAAAAAATATCTCCTAAGAAAAAGCATTTGAATTTTGTGATCTCTTAAACAATGTAATCAGAACCAGTATATTTTTTTTTTTTTTTTTTTTTGAGACAGAGTCTCGCTTTGTTGCCCAGGCTAGAGTGAGTGCCGTGGCGTCAGCCTAGCTCACAGCAACCTCAATCTCCTGGGCTCGAGTGATCCTTCTGCCTCAGCCTCCCGGGTAGCTGGGACTACAGGCATGCGCCACCATGCCCGGCTAATTTTTTATATATATATATCAGTTGGCCAATTAATTTCTTTCTATTTATAGTAGAGACGGGGTCTCGCTCTTGCTCAGGCCGGTTTCGAACTCCTGACCTTGAGCAATCCGCCCGCCTCGGCCTCCCAAGAGCTAGGATTACAGGCGTGAGCCACAGCGCCCGGCCAGAACCAGTATATTTTAAGTTTTCTTTCAAACTAAATTATTCATATTTTTTACTCTTATTCCATGTTTTCTTCCTACAGTACATTCTGTGCCCCTACACCAGACTGACCATCCTAAACCACATATAGGATCATGTCTCCTCCCTGCTTGTAAAGTGTCAATGATTCCTCACTGCTTTCAAAATGTAGTCTGGACTTATCAGTATGGCATTCAGGGTCCTGCTATAGCTTTACTTTCCCAACACAAAATTCATGCTCAAATTAATTTGGCTTTAAAACTTCCTGATATCTGATTGGATGCTATTAGCTATCACAATTCTGCTTTGCCCTTCAAAGCCCCGGTCATATTTCATCTTCTCTGATCACTATTCAGAAGTGAAACCTGTCCAAGCTAAAGCATTTCCTTTTTATCATTCCCATCACATTTACCATATACCATAAAGGACTGTTTGTACAATTTTCTGCTTTAGAGAGTTAGTATTCTCATGGCCAGTTCTGCACAGCACTTAACATGGCAGGAAGATAGTAAATGATTTGTTAAATGATTAATAGATTTTCTCCTCAATTTTATAAGTTTCAGATATTCAGAAAAGCAGAAAGAATCCCAAAATACCTTGAAATACATGGCCAAAGAAACCCATACCTGAGAAACCATGCATTTGCTTTTCTGGTGGGGGGAGGGTCAAACTTCTCCTGTTATATAGTGGATCTACTGCTATTTTCAAACATCCGTTATAAAATGAGTAGTTTCTTATCCAAAATTTTTTAAATTCGCCACACCTTAAACCTATGAATACTATACTAAAATAGCACAGAAGCAACCAATATCAGTCTTTAATTTTCTATGTCTTATTCCTTATAGGGCTCCTAATTAACAACAATAACAGCAAAATCTCTATTTAATTCAGTTATTAAAGGTTCCTCCTAGTAAAATCCAGACCTTCAATAACAACTGGGTTTATATTTGTTGCAGGAATAATGAATAAACTAAAATTCCTCAAATCTGAAACAACCGAATTCAATACCAACTTTTAGAGAGAATACTATCACATTTAAATTATCTTATTTTATCAAATATAAGTATCTTACCAAATATAAATTTTCAAATATTTCAATTTTTTCCAAAAAAAATTCAAATTTTCAAACACAAATATAAAAATTATCAAATATAAATTATATTATTTCAAAAGATATAATAGCATTCATCACAGGACTAAGGAAATGTAACAGAATACTATTTATAGGTTTGCTTCTACATTTTGAATCAATGTTTTCTATTATAGTTCTTATATTTTGTAGAGAATAAATGCTGAAAGGCCAAAATAAAATTTTCCAATCACAGTATACATTTATTTATTCATTCACTTAAAAAATGGGTAGTGGCTCATGACTATAATTCCAACACTTTGGAAGGCTGAGGTGGAGGATCACTTGAGGCCAGGAGTTCAATTTAAGGCCCAGGGTTCAAGGTTGCAGTGAGCTATGATGGTGCCACTACATTCCAGCCTAGGTGACAGAGCGAGACCCTCTTTAAAAAAGAAAAAATGGTTACTGTGTGTCAAAGAGTTTTGGAGGGCCAGGGAATGTTATGGGTTAAATTGTGTTCCTCTGTCAAATTCATATGTTGAAGCCCTAACCTCTAGTACATTAGCTAAGTTAAGATGAAGTTATACTGGAGTGGAATGGGTTCTAATCCAATATGACTGGTGTCCTTATTTAAAAAAGAGGAAATTTGGACACAGGCACAGAGAGAGAAGGCCATCTGAAGATAAAGGTTAAGGTCTACAAGTCAAAGAATGCATGCCAAAGATTGCTACCAGAAGCAAACCACCAAAAACTAGGAGAAAGATTTTCCCCACAGCCCTGAGAAGGAACCACCCCTGCCAACACCTTCATCTTCAACTTTTAGCCTCCAGAACCTTAAGCCAATAAACTTCTATTGTTTAAGTCACCCAGTTTGTGGCAGTTTGTTACAGCAGCCCTACGAAGCTAATAAGCAGGGTTTCCCTGAAGAATTCTCACTTATGTTAAAACTTGAAAATGAAGTAGGAATTAGCTGAAGAGAATGCTAAAAAGAACATTCTAAGAGTTTGGGAGGAGCATGCTGTTGGGAGAAGTATTCTGTCCAGAGACAGAAAAAAGAGGCAATGAGTATAATGATTTAGAGTAGGGCCTTTAAATCAAATCAAATCCAGTCTACTACCTCTTCTTGTATTGGAACACATCCATGCTCATTCATTTACTGGCTACAGCTGCTTTCATGCTATAACAGAGTACTTGCAAAGAGACTATATGTCACACAAAGCCTAAAGCATTTAGCATATGGCCCTTTACAGAAAATGTTTATCAGTCCCTGTTAAAGTACAAACTAAAGTTAGACTGCTTGGCTCCATCACTTAGTAGCTGTGTGAACATGGGGAAGTTATTTAATAATCTCTCTATGCCTCATTTTCGTCAATTATAAAATAGGGATAAAAGAACTCTTTCTTATAAAATTATGAGAATTATATTAATATATGTAAAGTGCTTAGAAAGTCTTAGACAAATATTAAGTCTATGTAATTGTTTGCGATAATTATCACTGTAACTAAGTTTGAGGAACCAGAGTTAAGTGTCAGGCAAATATTAAGTCTATAGAATTGTTTATTATTTCATCATCATTATCAAGTTTGAAAAACTAAAGTTGACCAGTATAAGGAAGACAGAGCTTTGGGATAAAGCTGGTGAGCTAACATGGGCCAAATTATTTTTTTTTAGGCTGCATTAAAGCATTTGGAATTTATTCTAACATGAGTAAAAAGCCTTCAACAGGAAGTTTTAATTTGGAGACTACCATCATCAGAGTGGTATATTTTCCCATGGGAGCGAAAATGTGAGGTGACTATGGTAATCTCTCTTTAAGTCCATAACAACATTATTAGTTAACATAGTAAAATTTTATCATTTGTTGTATATTTTTATGTACATTATTGAAAATTATGCTTTCATCAACTTATGAAGTTGGCTCAAGTCATCTAAATTTTACATGTAAAACGAACTGCCTTATTAACATTACAGACAGGAAACAAAACTTACAGATACAAATTCCTATGCCAACTGTTCTTTAAAAGAGGTTTCCAGACTTGGTGAGATTACCTTGGGTCAAACCTTCAGGAAGAAGTGTCCTCTGGTCATTATTTTCACTTCTACTATGTTAGGATAACCATACAGCTTATCATTTAATCTAGGAGACTTTGGACAATAAAAAAGGTCACTATTAAAAGTTACCCCAAGACAACATGCATAGTCCTACACTATTGGATATATTTTCCCTAAATCTTTGTCAGTTAGAAGATGGATATGACACCTCATGAGGCTGAACTGCCAATAAAAAGTCATCCTGGATGAGACATCAAGTAGGACTGCACACCACCAAATTTGCAATCTGAAGCCCATCAATATGCTACCAACAAGAAACCAAAAGTAACAAAAAGGAGATGCATATAACTGGTGACTATTGCTTGTGAGGTTTAAACTTCCTTACCTCCATGACATCTTCTAAATTTTCTTCTGCATCTGCTTTCTCTGTCATCAGTTTGGCTGCCTTAAAATAAGTTTTCATAAGTAGATAACCCCTTTTTGCTCCATTCCAGTATGACCGAGGAATTTCCACCAAGCCATACCCCAATAACAACACAAGAAGAAACAGGCCCCATGTATTTGCAGCAGCTATCCCAATTGTCTGAAGCTGATTCCTAAGATAGAAAACATATGCAGATAGCTGTGATAAATATATTTTCCTAGAAAATGTGAAATGAAACCAACTAGTATTAAATATTTTTTCAGAAAACAATTACCCTAAAGGATGGATAAGATTTTATATGCAAAATTAGACCTTTAAATTCTTAGCTACTCTTTTAGTAACAGCAGATAATCTGCTTATTTTAATAGAAAAATAAAATGTAATTGCAGAAATGGACTTTAACACCGCAAACATTGCTTCTATTGCAGTTAAAATCAGAATCTAGAATAATTCACTGCAAAAATATGTATATATTTTCCCCAAGAAAAGACTTTCCATTAGGTGCTTTCTTATTCAATATTAACCAAAAGAAGCCTGGAAAATTTTTTAATTAACTTGTGTTCAAGCTGATGTACATAAATCTCAGGAGTGCAACAGTGAGGCCTATCGCTGCTGCTCTGTTCCTAAATTTTCAGACCCACCTTTTCACATATACAACAAATCAAATCATAAGTATAAAACAGATTTCAATTTTATTGAAATATCTAAGACAACATTAAGAAAAAATATGCCCCAAACTACAGCAAGAACAAAAAGAAAAAATATTCTCAAGTTCCAATGAAAAATAAACCTAGATATTTTATGATATATATAATTTGAAATTCTACCCAAAAGCATTAGTTATTATGTTTAATATATAGCTATTAGACAAAGCATAAATCCTTTGCCTAAAAGCTATATTTAAAGATGTTATTCCCTATTTTTTTTCTTAGTAATATGGATTATTCAGATATTCTTTTTGGAGAATCTAAAAAACATAGAACAATATGTTTCTCAATGAAATGTCTGTTTACTTGCATATATAAGATAAAAATGAATTTTTAAAAGTACAAACATACACAAAAGCAATGTTAAGAAGACTACTTTTCTTACCATTCTAAATGCAAATGTGGGTTTACAGCTACATAAATTAAAAATGCTCCAAAAATCAGCAAATAGGTGCCATAATAGATTGCATTCTCAATCAGTGCAGTTTTGATCTTTCCAGTGATAGAAAACCCTCCTGATCTTGCATATGACTGCATAAATGGTAAGAGAATCCTAGAGAGATGGAAAAAATGATTTAAAAACTGATGTCTATATAATCTCAAAAGACCAGAAATATACGAAAGTCAATTTTAATGCACAGTTCTTCTCATTAATAAATATAATTGTAATTATTAATACTGAATAAATTACAATAGATGATTATTTTTGTAATATTAAATTTTAGGAAAAACAAAGGCTCTGAGGCAAGAGAGAGCAAGGCACAATACTGGGAGTAAAGCAGGCCAGAATAACCAGTAGAGAATGCAACAGTGTGATAACTAAAGAGCAGTCTAAAATAAGCCTTTAAAAGTTTTTATGAAGAATTTGGAAAGTATAATGAGGAAATATCTTCTTTAACATAAAGTAGACATGACCAAATTTTAGTTTTCTAAGGCTTCAGCATGGAGAATGGATTAACAGGGAACAAAACTGGAACTAGCTGAGAGGAGTAAGGGTGGTAGTGGTAATAAGGAGCAGAAAGGGAGAAGATTGGTTATCAACATACTGACATTGAAATAATACCTAGGTGTCCAAGATGAGTTGCACAGGAAGTAGCTGGCTATCCAGCTTCGGAGTTCAGAAAACAGGACTAGAAACACAAATAGATTCCAGAGTCATTACCCTATCAATGGCAGTGAAATAACATCAGTAGATGAGATCTGGGAGGGTGAGTATGTAGAATGTGAAGGAAAGAACTGAGACAAGATCCCTGAGAATTATCAACTTTTAAAGGAGAGGTAGTGAAACAGAAAAGAGGAAGAACCAGGAAAGATGACTGAAACAGAACAGAAGTGGGGCAAGGAAGAAAACCAAGGAGTATATGGAGTGGAAACTAGGATAAGAAAGTGTTCGAAAGTGGAGAAAGTAAACAATAGAATCAAATGCTACCAAGAGGAGAAGTAAATTCAGGACTTATATGTGTGACTGGTGGAGGGGGAGGAGACAACAGAGAACTATGCGTTGAAAAAATAAGTAAACAATGAGCAAACGGAGATACCGAAGATAGAGAATTTAAGAAGTTTGGTTGGGTAGGATAAACTAGGGTATCAACATAAAATGGAGTATTTTACAGTAATGAAAAGAACGGAAAACAGATACCTACAACACAACGTAGATGAATGTCCCAAATATGTGAGCACAGAGAGATGCAAAAACGTTCATACTATATAACTCCACGTTTATAAAGTTCACAAACAGGAAAAACTCATCTATGATGATGGAAGTCAGAATCGTGGTTACCTTTGTGGGGGGATGACTGGAGGGGAAAGCAAGAGGTGGGGGTCTAGAGGGACATTGTTAATTTTCTAGATCATCATTTGAGTGCTGGGGTATGGGTGTATTCACCGTGAAAAAAGTCAAACTAAACACAATCTATGAACTTTTCAGTACAAATTTATACTTCAACTGAAAAAAAAGTATCCCCAAAATATTTCGTTGTGACAAGGTCAATGAGGTAGAGACTGGAAAGAGATTTAAGTTGAGAGACTTTTGTTCCTCTTTTTGAGACAGAGTCTCACTCTGTCACCCTGGCTAGAGTACAGTGATGTCATCTGTGCTCAAATAATCCTCCTGCCTCAGCCTCCCAAGTAGCTCGGACTATAGGCGCAGACTACCACACCCGGCTAATTTTTCTATTTTTTATTGAGACAGGATCTCTGTGTTGCCCAAGCTGGTCTCCAACTACTAGCCTCAAGAGAGCCTTCTACCTCAGCCTCCCAAAGTGCTGAGATTACAGGCATGAGCCACTGAGCCCAGCCCCTTTTTTTCTTCTTAAAGGATGAGAGAATTGTGCATCTGTTGTTGAAATTGGAAGCTATATGTCTATAACAAGAGCTGAAAGAAAGGGATCCATATTTCAGGAAGGATTAGCTTTAACAAGAGTGATTCTACCATCCTTAAAGGGAAAGGAAGAAAAGATGGGTAAGTAGGTAGATCTGTCGGTGAGAAGCTGTAAGAGCTGCCATCTGATGACTTCTGTTTTCTGATGACTTCTGTTTCTACTGTAAGGTAGAAATAAAGTCAAGTCATCTGCTAAGAGTAAAGGTGATTTTTTTTTTTCTTTTAGGGCATAGTGGAGAGAGAGAGCCACAATGGGACGGCAGAAGTTTGAAGTGACTAGAAATGTTTGTTGTAGAGAATGGAGAACAAACTAAAGAAACAAAGAAGGAAACTCTGGCAATGCTTAGGGCCCAGTTGAATTTAAGAAGCATGATTTTAGAGAAGCACTACTCTACTCTGCTCTGGGATTCTTCTCCTGCAATGATCACTACCTCCAGTTTTAGAGCTTAGTTGTTTGCAGAATACCTGTGAAATGCTCAGTAGGCAGTGGGTTAGTGTGAGTCTGGTACTCAGCAGAAAGATAAAGCTGTAATAGGGAAAAAGATTCAGAATGCATTACTGGTCAAGGAAACCATGGCTGTAATTACAGCTATGCAGGAAGAGTAAGACAACAAGATGACCAAAGATGGGACTCTAGGGAAAACCAATATTTAGGAAATATAGGCCACAGAAATGGAGCCCATAAAGGAAATTCAGAAGGTTGGGCTGAGCAGATAGAAAGAAAACCAAGGGGTACTGATGATCTTAGCAAGAGCAATTTCATATAATAATGGGGCTGGAAGAAGACTGGAGTCAAGAGAGAGGCAATAACTGGAGGGAAACAGAAACAAGGAAAACTTTTTGTTTCTATTTTCTATTTTTTGTTTACTTGGTTTTTCTTTTCTTGTTTCTTTCTTTCTTTTTTTTTTTTTTTTAAGATGGGAAAGACTTGAGCCAGCAGAAAGGGAGGGAGAAGATACAGATTTTTTTTTAATCTGTAAATAAATTCCAAATGATGTAAATAAATTTCAAAATATGAACATTTACTGAAAAATAATCACATTTTATTTTTACTTTAGCCAAATTTAAAAAATTTTATCCTTCACTACCACTTACCATGTTAAAAATTGTGATGTCCAATATACTACCCTCCAGAAAATTGGCATGATTCCATCAGGAATGTAACTCCATGGCTTGAAACATGGATGTTGGCTGTTGAATGAAAATTTAAAGCCAATTAATCATAAATAATTACTACTTCAATTATACAACTGAATTGCATGTGGCAAAGTTAATTTTCAGATTCAAATTTTAAATTATTGACTTTAACTCAAAATTTCATGAAAAACTTCAAATTCACAGCTATCAAACTAAAAAAGAAACCACACAAAGAGAACAAAACAGTTTGTTTTAGAGAGGAATGCCATTTAAGTTTTCAACTTTCACTGTACTTTTGGTCATTGGGCATAAAGAGGACTTAATGTTCAACTAATAGACTAAAAATCCAACAGTCTTCAAAAAGCAAATGTATCATGAAATCAAATCTCTAATGAGAGATTTGAAATGTACACCTTTAAAATACACACTCACCCCATTTATAAACCTGGTTATTTTATTTATTTACTTACTTTTGCAGGGAGTGGTACAGGTAAGACATTAGGCAACTAATCTCTACAAACTGAAATGCTAATTAAATCAGTCACTATATATCATAACTCCTATGGAGATGCATGGTAGAATCTGTAATTCTGTTTGAATTATATAACCGTTTGACAATTTGAATTTTATTCATTCTAGATCTATAACTATAACGCTTTCAGAGGATGTACAATATGAAAAGAATACCATAAATACAGAATAACCTCCTTGTCCTTTATTACAACCTTGTAAAGTAGCCAAAAGAGAAAAATGCATGCCCCATATTTTTTCTCTTTTTATTTCATCATATTATGGGGGTACAAATATTGTTAAGGTTACATATATTGCCCTTGCCATCCCTCCCCCCCACCCGCCATGTCAGAGCTTCAAGCGTGTCCATCCTCCAGGTGGTGCGCATCACACTCATGTAAGTGTACACCCATCCCCTCTTCCCCCCCCACCTGCCCACCACCCAATAAACGGTTTTTTTTTTTATTTGTTATGTTTTTGCCCCATTTTTGAGATCTGAGATGGGCTAAGAGGAAAAGTATATATTGGAAGTCACATACATAGTAAAGAAGAACCAGGGCTAAAAATTCAAGTCTTCTTCAAGTTTCTCACTACCATCTGCTGAAAGGCCCGTGCACCAATAAATATTTAAAATGTAGACTTAAATAGAACACGATGTAATAAAGTCTACTAGCAAAAAATAGAGGTGGTGGGATCAGTAGAGAATGAGGATAACTCTTACAAATATAAAATCTGAATGGTAAAAACTGACAATTTTAAAATAGTTTGCCCTCTACAATATTTATATTTAAAAAATAAAAATGAAAGGAAATACCTTGACATGGGGTTAGCAGTTGCATACAATCCTGTAACGTTGCTACTTTCAGGAGGGCTTGAATTTGCAGCAGCATGCTTGCACCGGTTGTATATTGTCTAAAACAATGAATGGTTTAAATGAAAATCAAAAGATTACCAAGTAATTGGAGGGTTATTGGAGTTTATTAATCTAACCAAATTTAACCTTTCTAGCTATGCTTTTTAATGATTAAATTTCTAAGATAACATCTAAATTCAAAATATAAGTATTACCATATATAATTTAGCTGTCTTAAGAAATAACATTATTTCAAACATGCTGTATGACTACAATTTTGTCTTTTAAATTGTGAAAATCAGTTTCACCCCTTACCGTACTAACATCCAGAGGCAGTATGAAGACAATAAGAAAGCAGAGATACCAAGCAAGTAGCGTTCCAACAATTACAAGTCTATGCTGTTTCTTAAAGTCTCCATATCGATGAAGTAGAAATAATGCCAGAAAAAAGACAAAAACAATCTCAAGTCCCAAAGCTGCACCGCTCATTATTGAATGTTCACGCTAACCAAAGTTATTTATGTACAGGTCTGGACCATATCTGTAAACTGAAAAAAATAAAAATAAAAATGCAATATTAACATTGAAAATGACCATTTGGAAATTTCCTAAATATTTATTAATGCATCAATAAACTCTTTGAAAACTGTTATGCTTCACATTTGACTATGAATTTCTTTTTTTATCCCACTCCAGGATTATGAATTAGATGAAAAGGATAATTCCTATCCTCAAGTACTTACATTTTATTTTTTGAAGTGCACTTTAAAATTTTCACATAGATTATTTTTTCCAAAAAAAGTTATTTTAACATAAATTACACTAGTTTTTAAGATATTACAAATTAAGAAATTCTTAATACTAGATGTGAACAGTTTCAATAGAGTATCATTTGGAATTTGTTTCTTAAGGCTATAAATCCTAACAGAATATTTTCTACAAATAAGCTATTCCCTAGGAAATTACATACTTAGTAAAATACATTTTTCTATCATCATCCATACCCCATAATTTGATTTTCTAAAAGAGAGGGAGTAATAGACAGAAAGACAGTGGCCGTTTGAAAGTAACCTTTCTTTTGTTTAAAACAGTATTTTTCATTTGTGTTAATTTTGCCTAACTCAACTTTCCTGACTTGAAATTCTTTCATTTACTGCTTCACAAAATACACTTACACTTCCCATTATCGACATAAGTCTTATTTTCTTTAAAGAAAGTTACTTTACCTATTTTATATATAGAAAATCTATCAATGATGATTAATAAAGTCATAAATTTGAAAATATTCTTAAGTTTAAAAGCTGATAATACAGACATCAGCAAATGGCTTGATATCTCTCTACTCTTAAATAAAAAAAAATCTACCTTTATGGACTACAATATTCCAAGGAATTGATGAATATCTTAACAGAGAGAATCAAGATTGTCATGTAACCTAAGAACATAAATAAAGCAGAATAAAGCATTTCAAATCAACAAACAATAACCAGTTTTGCACCCAAAACTAGTTATAAAAAGAACACAGAAAGTCTGAGACTTTAACAGGGTAAATTTAAATTCATATAGGAAATATTCCTACATGAAATATCATGAATAAAAATCACATTTAATAAACTATTTTCTTTACCAGTTCTTTATATTATTATAGTTTCTTTCCATTCCTCTGTACATTTCAACCTAAAATTAAACAACTTTTATCACTGTCTCCTTATCTTCCTAGTTTTCTTCAATATAATACACATTCTTTATATTTATTAATTGCCCCCTGCATGTCTCCCCTTCCCCTATAGCCTCTATGAGAGTAAAGACTTGACTACTTTATTCAGTACTATATTCCAAGTCTCTAATTAGTAGCTAGCATATAGTAATATTAAGAAATATTTGTTGGATGAATAAAAAAAATAAAAAACATTATAGTATATTTTAGTAAATACGTCAGTTTTATATTAAGCCTTGACAACTCAAAAGGCTTAAAACTCTGCACATTACCAACTATTACTCAAAATATCAAATTTCATACTCTATGAAAAAACTAATACCACAACAAGAGTAAGGCAAATCTTATTTTAAAGCCAAGCACAGATTAAGTAGTTAGCTGAAAGCTATGTAATAGAATGTGCTGATGACAACTATTACCACCTTCAAGATCCAGCTATAAAAGAGATTCAATGTGAGTTTAAATACAACATATTATCTGAAAATCCCTTTATGATTTGACCTAGATACTGACTTACCTGAAATTGTCCAGGACAAGGAATATAACAATCATATGGAAAAAAGACTAAATACTAGAAATTACCAAAGAAATGCTAAATAAAGTATGGTAGAGCCAGATGATGGAATATTACTATAGTATAAAAAGTGATGTTTGTTAAGATTGTTTAATAACATTAGAAAATTGCCCTAAGATTAATTGAAAAGTCCACATATTCTTACATAATACGCATAAAAAGAATACGACAACAATGAAATATATGAAAACTTTAATAAGTGGTAAGATTATGGGCATAAGCAAACAAAAAAATCAGTTATAAACTTGCCATAGCCATTAATTTTTTCCCTATGGCTCTCAATTTCTCATTCATAGTACTTTAAAAGGTTATAGATGAATAAACAGATTTATGGATCCTTTATTCTAGTAATAAATGATTTGATTACATCTTTTCCCATACTCAGTGTATTAGTTTCCTATTGCTACTGTAACACTACCACAAACTTAGTTACTTAAAATAAAACCCATTTATTATCTCATAGTTTCTGTGGGTCAGAAGTCCAGGTGTCAGCTGGTTTGCATTTCTCTCTGGAGAAGAATCATTTCCAAGCTCATTCAGGCTGTTGGCAGAACTCAGCTCTCTATGGTTATAGGACTGAGATCCCTGATTCCTTGCAAGCCTGGAATTTGCTCTTAGCTCTAGAGGCCTCTCTCCAGTCTTTATATGTGACCCAAATATCTTTATTGTTTTAATTGTATACATTCAAGGTGTACAATATGCTGTTTTTATATACTGTATATATACATGGTGAAATGATTACTATACTCAAGCAAATTAACATACCCATCTCCTCATATACTTTGTGTGTGTGTGTGGGGGGGGTAAGTCCTCTCTGTTTCACTGGGCCCACCTGGATAATCTAATCATTTAACTGGTTCTAGAGATTAGGGCATAGTCATCTTTGGAGGTCTATTACTCCATTTACCACATCATCTACTTCTGTTCAGAATGAACTCTGTTGCCTTGTTATTATGACCAAGGGTAGGTAGGTCTAGTGGTCTCATAAAATTGGAGATAAAAATTAGGGTTTTCCCAAGCTGAGATGAGAAAATAACAGTTTTAAAACCCATATCTTTAACCTTGTACCTAAAGTCAAATAAGGAGTTGCAAGGTTTAGGGCAAAAGGAGGGAGAAGGAGTAGAAAGGGAAAGATTATGATAGAGGCAAATCAAAATTCAATTCCCTATGATTAGAAATGAAAAGGAAACTTTAGGTTGGCATTAGCACCACAGCAGCATAAGTTGGTTTTACTCAAAATCAAAATGCCCATTCATTCATTCTATCAAATTTTAGTGTCTGATGTGCAGGCATATTGTATCCCTCAAAACACTGGCTCTGAAAGTATTAAACATTTAAAAATTCAATTCAATCCTTTTCCAGTCATCAAGATATTATTTAATATTACTTTCAAATGCCTTTATAATGGTTTCCTAATTAGCATGTTAATGTTACTGAATTGGAGTACTGTTTTCTGAGTACTTTATGGCTTATAATATTTCTTTCAGGCTAACCACACTTTGAGTGAAAACTTTAGAGATTAAGATAATTTTGGAATTTGAAGAATCCCAAATGTTGGGGGAAGGGGCAGAGGAAGAATTGGTAGCAATTGATTAGAACACAAAAAAAAAACACTGACAAAAATTCTGCCAAAACCAAAGATTCTGAAACTGAATGAAAAATTTCTGAATAGAACCTAATGATTCATCAGACTCAGATACTATTAACCTAAACATGTATTTTTGCTCAGATATATGAAATAATAAAAGCTAGGAAGCAACTCAAGAGCCTAATAATGACTCACCAGCAAATTGGTATTAACTGAACAGCACCTAAGTGGTCACATAGGTACTACAGTAATAGGGTATTGGGCAGGTGGGAGGGGGGCAGGTATATACATATGTAATGAGTGAGATGTGCACCATCTGGGGGATGGTCATGCTGGAGACTCAGACTTGTGGGGGGAGAGGGGGAAATGGGCATTTATTGAAACCTTAAAATCTGTACCCCCATAATATGTTGAAATAAAAAAAAAACAAAGAGAGCCTAATAATGTAAACTCAAAAGAATTGGCACTAGAAGTAAATGATGAAGTTATCAGGTTTCTACCACCAATCAAAATGTAAATCTTTCACACATAATCATTATTCTCATTTTAAAGATTTCAGGAATAGAGAGAGTCCAGTTCAGGATGTAGAATACCACAAGAGACTGTTACTCCAACTCTAAAAATGAAAACAAATCATACTATTTTTTGAAGCCATCTAAGAGCTGAGTTGGCAAACCAACCTAGTAACCTGAATCCAAATGTGACAAGCCCCTCTGAGGACAGTGGGATACATACAAACTGTTATGCCTCTGGCAAGGAATGAAGCAAAGAGGTAGCAACCGTGTAAGCAGGTAAGAAAAAAACAACTAAAATTTGAATGAATTCTTAAAGATTTCAGGTATAGCTATTGCAAGACATTTTGATAAATGATAATCCTTAGAATCCTTCCAAATAACAAAATAATTCTTAAAAAAAGGAATAGCTAACATTTGTTTAGCGTGCCTTTACTAAATTCCATGCTAGTACCTACCATGCTTTATCAAATTAGACCTAGCAACCCAGTAAGAAAGGACTTTTAATATCCTTGCTTAGAGAGAAAACAGCATAGAGGGGGTAAGTAATTTGTCCAAGTTCCCAGAGCTAATGAGTGGAAAAGCTGGGATTCAAACCAAGGCACCCTGACTGCAGAGCCTGGATCACAATTATGTCTCTTCTCCAATCCAGACATACTTTCTTAACGCAATTTAAATTGTTTAAATAATTTATTTTGTTCAGTCTTCATAGAGGACAAATTAGAAACATTCTATCATTCATTTAGATATATCAAGATAGACCGCTAAGAAAGTCATGTTTAATATAGAATTTAACTAAACCTTTTTACCTTACAGATAATACTGCCATTCTTTGATTTAAGGGTAATATATGACTCTAATCTACACAGGAAAAGTAGAAAACTGGTGCAAATTAGTTCTTGCCACAATCTATCTATCATGGAGCATTAACTTGCAGAGAATTAAAGATCTACTTTAAAATTAATCAACGGAAAAGGGTCCTCTTGAAATCTGATTGGCAGATAGATACTTCTTGCTATGTAATCCTTCTCAGCCTTTTGTTTCCCTAAGCTAAATAACATAAGGAAAAAACTAAAGGAATTTTAGGATTTATTCCATGTTATGATGGAACTAAGGAAAAAGAACATCACCTTTCTATTTAAATAGTATCTCTTTGCCATATTTGATTTCCAAAAATGGCAGTAACATACTACTGAATATATATATGCCTTGTAGTCATTTATGACGGTCAGTCCTTTTTGGCCCTTCCTATGCCCTAATATTGATCATCTTGTAGTTATGCTGTGGTTTTGACTCTCCATAAATGATATTGCTCTTGTCTCACCCACACATCTCATGTTGTATTATAAACATTTTCCCAATTTACAAAGTCACTTTGAATTCTATCTGAAGCTTCCAAAGAGTTGTAGGAATTACCCTAATATCATTTGCAGTTATTTAAGAAAATGTATTAATAGTTGCTCTGTCCTGGATACTAATCAAATAAGTCTAGTTCTGGAAATATGGTATATCTCTTATTAAAATGGAACATGGGGTACACTGAGTAAAATTAAACTAATAAGATAAATCAGAAAAATGAAATATATCAGTTGCAAACACAACACAGTTCTTTAAGCAACCAGACAGCAATTTCCACATAACTACCATGTTTTCCCGAAAATAAGACCTACCCATAAAATAAGCCCTAGCAGGATTTCTAAGTATTTGCGAAATATAAGCCCCGCCCAGAAAATAAGACCTAGTGATGGGTGTGGCTACACAGCATATCTGCACAACCCATATATTTCGTTGCAAAACGGGAAAGATGAGCAGCCCTTCTCATCTGCCCCATCGTGACAGCTACTATCCCAGAGGTGACCCGAAAGGTGCAGGCAGCCCCACCAACAAGGTCAGCTTCCCCTGTCAGGTTCCAGCCATCCTGTGTATGCTGCAAGCTGAGGCTTTGAGGGGAAAATAACACGTCCCCTGAAAACAAGCCCTAGGGTGTCTTCTTGAGGAAAAATAAATATAAGTCCCTGTCTTGTTTTCGAGGAAACATGGTAGTAATTTCAAGTCCTCAATGGACACAATTCCTTATATTAAAAACAACTGCATGTACTAATTTAAACTTGTATTTACTATATTAAGAGAATAGCCATGATTAGAAGGAATGTGAAAGAAAGGAAGGAAGGAAGGAAGGAAGGAAGGAAGGAAGGAAGGAAGGAAGGAAGGAAGGAAGGATAAGGAAGGAAGGAAGGAAGGAAGGAAGGAAGGAAGGAAGGAAGGAGAGAAAGGGAGGAAGGAAGGGAGGGAGGGAGGAAAGGAGGGAGGGAGGAAAGGAGGGAGGGAGGGGAAAAGAAAAAAGAAAATAAAAGAGAAGGGAAGGGAAGGAAGGAAAGAAAGAAAAAAAGTATTCCCATATTAGCAAACTACAGTATTTCTGTTACCAGGGCAAACTAATGAAATGTCAATCACAGTATCAAAAGACTGATTTTCAAAATGGACGGGTTCTCCCTGAAGTCCAAGAGAGGACCTTGTGTCCACTAATTCAGATATTTCAAGTATTCTTGTTCTCAGGGGACTCCTAGTTAAACCCTACACTGAACATAAATATTTCTCATCTTTAAATTTAGAATCATCCCATCTATTATACCTTCCTATCAATGAGATGTATATCTGAAGTGGCTGCTCAGGATTTTGTGTCTCAAAACTGTTTATTCTCATCATGGCATCATACAAGTTTTTTTTATTTATTCTTTCTCCTCCATTAGTGTACAGGTCCATCTTGTTCACTTTCCTGAAGGAGACTATAAAAAGGAGATATATTCAAACAAAGGCAACTGCTTTCTTCTTAGCCAAAGTAACATAACGGTAACTGGGAAAATCAGGATATTGCATTTAAAATATTTTCCATTTAACATTAGTTTAACAACATGTGAACACTCTGTCTAGTATTTTCACCTAGTTTCAATCAAAATCAATTTGGGAACAGATCCCTTCTTTACACCAATCTCACCTACTTTCAAGAACAAACTAAAGATTCTTGAATTCTTTCCTGTCAAGAGGTTGTTACTTTTCAAGATATGGACCAAGCTTGAAACACATACACACCTGGGCAAAAGAGGTTTAATTTCACTATACAAGGAATCATTTTTTCAGAGAAATAGAGGATAAGTCATACAGCATTACTGAACATTGCACTACGTGATAGCCTGCTTACTTCTGAACTTTACAAATCCTCTTCATTTTTATAAGGATTGGAATTCACCCCCTTTCTCTCTTCCACTGTTTTCCTGGGGCCACAGTTGCAGTATAGTTTGCACAATTTATTTCGCATGGTCATCCTACCCGGAATACGGCACGCTCCTACTTTAACCACCCCCAAACTCTTCCCGATTTTAGGCGGCGACGCAAACAGACGTAGCGGGTTGAACCCGAACAAGCAACCAATGACTTTACTAGTGGCCCCCTGCGTTGCACTGGTAAAGCCCTATGCAAAACACAGTCCTTTATTTCCATTTATGAGGCTTGCCAAAGCTGCAAGGGGATGTGCAACCTTCCCACCACACAAAGGACCACCTGGGATCACTGGCTCCCCTAAAATTAAACCACCGCCTCTCGTTCGAACTGCGCTTTTTGTTTACAAACCACTTTCACACGCCTAATCTGATTTGATCCTCACTAAAAAGCCTGTGATATGCGCGTTGTTGTCATCCTGCCTACTTTACAGATGAGAGAAAGATCCTGTCTACCCAGTCCTAAGGGCCGCCCTCTCACCTCCCCGGAGGAGGAAGAAGCTTCCTGTCAAAAAGAGCAGGTGTGACGCCTGCGGCTCTCAGCCTCTCACCTGGCGGGCGGGACAGGCCACTGTCTGCACTCAGCAACCTGGGACTCAGCAACTCAGCCCAAGTAGGCCTTGCGGGAGCAGCCGCTCGGGATCTCCCGGGCCCCCTCCATGTCCGCCTAGGCTCGGCCTCGGACCCCAGACCCCAAAACCTTCCCCCGTTCCCCTTGAGGCTCACCGTCCGATCTCGCCAGACAGCGTCTGGAAGGGACCGGGAAACTCGGCGTCTGCCACAGCCGTCCAGGGTCTGGGACCCACGCTCGGAGGCGACAGCCGTGGCGGTCACCAGAAGGCCTGCCGGCTCCCGGGAAAGGAAAACCAGTCCACAGTCAAGCGGCTGACATGTCCCAGCCAGCCTGAGCACCGCCCGCTTCCGCCTCGCCGCCTCGCCGCCTCCGGAGGGCCAACCAACCCTGCACCCGCGAGGGATTGTGGGTATCTCGAAGGCGGGCAAAGCTGCAAGGGAAGGAAGTAGTGACGAGCCAGTCGGACTACGAGACAAGGCAGGAACTACAATTCCCAGCTGGCTGCGCGGCCGCGGATGGCGGCCGCGAAGGAGAGCGGGCAGAGCAGCCCTGCGCGCGCGGCGGGGATGGAACGTTGCTAGAGTTCGCGGGTCTAGCAGCTAGGGGCTGGAGCTGCACGCCTGGAGCCTTCGCGCGCCAAAGCGGGAATCCAGGAGGCGGGCAGCTCTGCAATTAATGCACGTATTTAAAACTTCCGAACCTGTGGACGCCATGCATAGGTAAACCGATTGCAAAAAGGAGTAGTGCAGGAATAGAACTGTCTTAATTCTTTTAGGCCGCGAATATTGCTACTTGCTATTATTTTACTAATGCTGTTATGTGGATGGTTGCTTAGCCCCTTCTTGGTGAAAGTGTGGATGGATGAATGCTTTAGTGCGGAGGTCTGCGTGCGGTTTTATTTGGCTTCCCTAATTGGACTTTCCTGTTACCGTTTTCATTCACTGTGTGATTGCCCTCCCTCTCTTCTTGTCTGTTCCCTCCGCTGGAAGAAATTCTTGAGGCCTTCTGCATGATCGTAAATCAAAAGCGTTTTTTGATTTGTTCTGTCATTTCCTTTTTAATTCTTGGGAACTCGCCAAGGGCATGTAAAAAAAATGCAATTATATTAGCTGTCCTGAAAGTTTTCTACAGTGCACAAATTGCAGCTCTATTATGCCTGCCTTGGAATTATTTATGGATGTGTTTTCGAAAGAAACTGGGGTATTGTGCGCTTCTGCAGGAAGCACCTCCAGGAGATTCCGGACCAGAGTAGCAACGTTACCACCAGCTTCACGTGGGGATGGGATTCCAGCAAGACTTCTGAACTGCTCTCAGGCATGGGGGTCTCTGCCCTTGAGAAGGAGGAGGTGGACAGTGAGAACATTCCCCAGGAACTGCTCTCAAACCTGGGCCACCCGCAGAGCCCCCCACGGAAACGGCTGAAGAGCAAAGGGAATGACAAAGACTTTGTGATCGTCCGCAGGCCTAAACTAAATAGAGAGAACTTTCCGGGTAAAGTATGAGGGTAAAACTCTGTTATGTAAGGGGTGGATTGAACTATTGTTGGTAAACCTTTGTTCAGGGATCTTTATGACCTATCCCTTTTTAAATTGCCTAATTCTGAAGTTCTTTTCCAATGAAATAGGGCAAGTTGTCATTGAACTGTACAAGAATCTTGGTAAGTATATATCTTCTGGTGTACAGTCAACTTGAATATTTTAATCCATGAGAAGACATCCTTGCCTTTTTCCTTAGAAGGGAATCTGCCTGCTCAGAAGCCAGCTCAGTGTCACTGATAATGAAAACATAAACAATGTTCTTCTTGTTGGATTCCTTTGCTTATAATCTGCTTTTTATCCCTTAAGCTTTTTGCCTTAATCACTTTAGTTATTTATCAGTGGACTGCTAAATGAATGTTCAACTAAGTAGAGAAGACTTATCTCTTCGGGTCCACTCCCAAATGGGCTCCTCCTGGTATGTTCTGTCTCCATTATTGCCCACACTATCTGTTCAGTCATTCAACCCAAAAACCTGAGTCAGTCAGATTCCCACCATCCCCCAACATCCAGTCAATCATCATGCTCTTATCTAGTAACTATTTCCTAAGCTCTCATCATCTCTTTGCTGAACTATTGGAATGAACTCGTAATTCCAGCCTTCTCCCCAGATCCATCTCCCAGAACTGGAGTAGATTAACTGAAATGTAGAACTCCCCATATCATTCTTCTTTTACTAGCTCCCCAGCCCATGGTTTCTCAAGCAGGTAAATGATACCTCCCAGAATGGATCAGAACCCTGAGTACTCAGAGCCATAGGGTAAACATAGAACATTGACCTGGGATTATCAGTTTTTCTAGCTAGTAAGTCATTTAAAAAAATAATTCAAATATTTGCTGAGCACATGCTACATGCTAGGCATTGTTCTGGGTGCTGGGGATATAACGGTGAACAAAACATAAATATTTCTATCCTCATGGGGCATCCATCCTAATGAGGGAATGCAGTAAACATAATAAATACTTTATATAGTATGTTAGATGATAAGTGGTATGGCTTAGAACAAAATAAAGCAAGCCAAGAGGGAGTTCAAGTCCTAGGGTGGGAAGAGAGATTACACTTTTAAACGAGGTATTGAAGGAAAGCCTTAATTGGACAGAGGCCTTTAAGCAAAGACATAAAGGAGGTGAGAAAGAATGCCATGCAAATGTCTTAGAGAAATGAGCCCCAAGCAAAAGAAATGGCTAGGGCCCGGGGGCAGAAGCATGACGTGTTTGTTTGAGGAAGGAGGAAGCCATATGCCAAGAATGAAATGAGCAAAGGAGAAAGTAGAGGGAGAACAGGTTAGAAGTAAGATTGAGCAGAATTGTGATTTGACCTGATTTAACCCTTTAAAATGACACATTGATATGTTGAGACTAAACTGTAGGGGGTCAAGGTAGGGGTGATAAACAGTGGTCAGATTCTGGATATATTCTAACATTAGAGTCAACAGAATTTAGGAGGCTGTTGAAATTGTAGAAGAGGGGATCACAGTCTAAACTGAAATTGGGTAGGTGATGGAGAAGAAGAGATAGATTTAAAACATAAAGATGAGATCTTACACGGTACATAAGCATATTTCTAAATTCTCCCATCTGGACTTTTTTGCAGAAGGGTGAATAGATTGCTTGCTTGCTTGCCTAGTTGGTTTAAAAAAATTGTTTGTTTTCGACCCTTTCTTTAGGAGAGGGAACCTTGTCCAAGTTATGGTCTGGAAATCCACATAAGGAGTTGAATTAGAGTGATAGTAGAGGGTTATGGTGAAGGCAGACAGATCTGGGTGTGAACCTTTATTCTGCTGTTTGCCAGCCTTGGGAAGGTATTTATATGAGCTTTCTTTGCCTTAGTTTCTTTATCTGTAAAATGGGAGTACTGTAATAAGTAATCTATGTAACCCACTTCATAGGTTGTTGTGCAGATTAAATGAGAGTGATGTAAAAAGCTCTTAAGATGCTGTTAGTGTGTAACAATAAATAACCCAGTGAATATTGATCAGCAAAATTTCTGACACCATTTGGGAAGCTAGTTGACTTTGTCTTTTGTTCTTAATACTGTTAGTCTGACCCTGTTAGTGTCGAATTTTTTTCTTCAAAACTTAATGTTAAATGCTATTTTTATTTTTATTTATTTATTTTTTTTTTTTTCATACACAAGAAGTCCTTAGATAAATGCTATTTTTAGAATCTGGAATGTAACCATAGCAATTTGGTGCTTGACCAACCAAATGTGGTTAAAATACTAACTGCTAAGATGAACAGACTTTGATTAACTTGTCCAGTGCCGATGGCTTTTGACAGTGGAGTGTGATTGCTGTATGCCTGTCCACAGTCACATACACTAATGTAAACAAAGGCATTTTTTAAGTAAGGCACTATGAGAACGAGACAGAAGTTTGAGGGATGGTTGCTATCTCCTAGGAATTTGCAACTAAGTTTAGGAGAAAAGACAATAAAAGAATGAGAGTAGCTCACGCACAGCAATACATGGAAGCTAGTAAACTAGCAGTAGATGGGCAGCTCAGGCAATGGGTGCTGTAGGGGCCCAGAGGGAGAGAGCCCTTGTGCCAGCGTGACCCAAAGCTTCTCAGAGGCAGAAGGGCTCCCATGGTGATTCCCATACACGTGGATATAGAAGATCCTCCTCCTTCCACTCAGCAAAAGTGGAAGGTCTGAGGAAAGAGAGAAGGATCTGAAAATGGTCTAATCAATGTCCAGAGTGTTAAAATTGACTTCAAAAATCTATGTCTGAATTGAGAGAGAAAAGGAATGACTTCTGTGTTTGTTACTACCTACAGTAAACATGAAAATAACAAAATGCAATTTATTATTTTTCCCTCTGCAGGGAAACCAATGTGCATGGACTTATGATATAGATTGGTTAATTGGTGTGGGGGGAGGGGTGAACTCCACGGTACAGGATGAAGGACAGCTGGTGTGGAGGATTCCCAGTGGGCCTTCGGAAGCCTGGGTCTCCAGTGTGGCTGGATAGTCATTCCAGGGAGTTTTGTCTGCAGTTGTCAGGACAGGTGGCTGAGAGCTATGCCAGGATTAGGGTAGAACAGGCCACAACTGCTTGACATAGATATCTGATGACTGGCCCCAGGCTGTGAGTTTTTGCTGGTTCTTTGCTGAGCAGTCTCTCCCTGTAGGCCCCAGTCCAGCTTCACAGCTGGCAACTAAATCCTCTGCATCTGTTTATTTTGGAAGATAAAAGCTATGTGGCCAACCTATACCGGAACAGATCTGATTGGCCACTTGGGTGAGTGTATGGAAGGAGTAGGGAGGAAATGGCCCAGTGGTGAGGTCAGTAATAGACAGGAAGAGGACAATCAAATTTTATTTATGATCATGAAATGCCTGTCCCCCACCCTTTAAACAGATAATGGCCATAAAAACAGAGTTGAACTAATTTGTTGATCAGCTTTTCCATAGCTGTTAAATCCTTGAAATTCCAGACCCTACAAGTGGTTCTCAGACTGATATACTGGTTCTCAGATACTGTTCTCAGATTCTGATATACTCTAAACCAAGTTTAGAGTATATCAGAATCTTCAAGGGAACTTGTTCAAAGTGCAAAATTCCTGAGATTCTGATCCAAGAAGTGTTGGCTTGAGCCTGGGAGTCTGTGTTTTAATACTCCCAGGCAAACATCTTTCCCCAAACTTTTTTTTAACCAGTAAGAAATATATTTTATATTGCTATCCTGAGTGTGTATCTGAAACAAAAGTTTTACAAAATTGTATTTCCCCTTATAAGATATTTTCTATTCCATTCTAGTCCATTCTTTAAATAAATAAAAAAAAATTGCTAGTCAAACTTACTAAATTGATTTCATGATCCATTAATGAGCCTCAGCCTACAGTTCCGAAATCTCAGCTCTGGAAGAGCCTTTTTGAGACCCTCCCCAGTCATCTTTCTTTGTTGCATAGCTTCCTTTCATTCAACAAATGTTTATCAAGCACCTTCAAAGGATTGGTTCTAGCACTGAACAGGCAAAAAACCCCCGCACTCACAGAGTTTATACACCATGCCCTAGTCCCCAAACCCCAATTTCCATTGGTTCTTTGTTACTCCTCCCACATCCCAGGGTTGAGCAAGTCTTTCATAGAATAAAGGGTTGTGAGGCTAAGGGATACATTGGGGGTACTCGTGTTTAGTTTTGCTTTTTTACCTAGCCAAAAACTCAGAAATACCCAAAGCTAGCATGGTCTCATATTTTCTCTTTATGATTTGTGGGAAGAAGAAGAATTCATCTGGAATGGCAGAGTCTGTAGGTCCCCAGAAAGGAGGCATGGGGTGTTGCTGCTACTTAACAGCTACAAACCAGCAAAAGCAATTGTGAGGTGAGCACCTCCCTTTAAAAACAAACAAAAAACCCAGTAGGTGTGAGTACCAGGGCCCACTTCTCCTGCAAGCATAATTTGATTATCTGTGTTTAAAGAGAGGAACAATTTTAAAAGTCAAAGTTTTGGTTATGATTAGGATTATTTTAGATTTTCAACTTGAATCTGAACGTAGGTGATGTCTTAAGAAATAAATATGTCAAGCAAGATGAGTCACTTATACTGAAAGATAATGGGTAGAAAACCTTCCAAAAAGCCCTTCTTCCCAGAGGAGGGTGGAAAGCATGGAAGATGATGAGATTTCAGAAGTGTGAAGGTGGGTTTGCACCTGAGGAATAATTGGAAATAGTGATGGGTGAAGCAGGTTTGCGGATTTGGCCAGTTTGTGCCCTTTCCTGACCCTGAAGTATATTTAACTACTGTCCATGTCTTTGAAGACTGGAGGCCTTGGACTTAACTATTTGCCTTACTGTGGTGCTGGTGTGCAGCCTTGGTTGGTTTAGCAGAGGCAAGTGGAGAAAGGATCTCTGGATTTTCCCTTCTGCAGCAGTGTAGTCAAGAATCCAGGAAACAGGCCGGGCGCGGTGGCTCACGCCTGTAATCCTAGCACTCTGGGAGGCCGAGGCGGGCG